ATTTGTCTGCAACTCGGACAAACAGAATGGACTAGGCAATGCCAACCAAGATAAAAACTTAACAAAAGCTGGCGGCGAAAATATTGAGCAGTTCATTTCTGTGACGACTTACTTATTTATGGACTATTTTAAAACAATGTATGTATTCGAATTTAATCATAGAAAAAGTAATATTAATTAATATGTATAAAATATCGGTGATTTTAAAGGATTGGCAGTGAATAGGAAAAGCAGGAACATGCTTACGGCCGAGATTAACACTTCTATTATTAAACTGGTGCTGGCTACTGAATAAATCTATTTGCTTGTGTTAATTCATTGAAAAGCAAAAATTCTGAATGTTAACAGAAATTTGATAGAACTATCTCTTCTAATCTAAAAGTGAGAAAGATCATAATTTTTAGCATTTAAATATCAGAACTATATATATATATATATATATATATATATATATATATATATATATATATATATATATATATAATGAGAAGCCACGTATACTTTTCTTAATAATATATATAGAAAAAGTTTCAAATTGAAAATTGTAATGTTTTATTTTATGAAAGTATTTATTTATTTATATAAATTTATATAAATAAATAAAATAAAACATTATAATTTTCAATTTGAAACTTTTTTCTATTATATATATATATATATATATATATATATATATATATATATATATATATATATTAACAGTGGCGACTCTAGGTCATCAATGTTTGTCGTGCTCATTACAATCTTTAACAAAATATACTATTGGCATAAATTGGCTACTAAAATTATTACTTTACTTCAACTAAAATATATATTCTTGTTAAATCTCTGTGCATGAATTAAAAAACATATTTTGATATTTTAATATTAATTGAAATAATGCTATAAAGATAAACAGTTATTTTTTTTTAAAAATCCAGATATCTAAGAAAAAAAAAGCGAGGACAAAATATTTGATATGTCTTTATCTGTTTATTCCCCACTTCCATTTTTTATTGTTTTATAGCCAGTTTATCTAGTCACTGATGTTAGAGTGTGTGCTTGTATCTATGTTTATGCGTTAATGTGTTTATATATTTCTCTGTCTGTGAATTTTAGTTAAATTTATTGTACGTTTATGATCAGTACGGCTGACTGATATCATGTTTCCTCAACAGTACTCCAGTCACAATCCTCACCCCAACACTTCAATCGACGGGTTAGGGCTGCCACTTTCTTTGATCTTCGCCGAACTTAAATCGGGATGAATTTAATTTGGCCTTCCTATTAAAAAACAAAAGAAAACAAAACAAAAAAACTTATACTGTAAGGAATAAACTATTTAAAATGAACATTTGGAAACAATAATTTGAAAGAAAAATATATTTTTTGAAAAACAATGCATATAAATCCTTAGAGATTTATTTATAAAGATTATTTATAAAATAAAACAATAAATACATTGCCTATTTAATATGTCTCTAATTTTGATAGGGCTCAAATCAACTCAGCCTGACTTAGCCACGTAATTTTATTTCCTTCTCTTTTTACTCACTTTTTTCTTTCTTTCTTGTTTATTATGAACAATATCAACGGAATGTAGTTCAGTCAATATTTTGAGACAGGGAGTTAAAACAATTAAATTTGGATCCATCTGAACTCAAAAATGAAAACGACGCTATACGAAATATTTTTGTTGCATTGAAAATAGATATACTTAAGCTTTGACAAATCCGGGCTGAGCCCGACAAGCTCCCCCACCAGAGTCGCCACTGATATATATATATATATATATATATATATACAAAGTTTGTCTCTGTGTACGATAAACAATGCTATTCATAAACGTTAAATTTCATTTACATCGGGCGCCAATACAAATATCTGTAAGTAAAGTAATACAAAATTTCAAAGACAGATGTAGCTCAATCTGAAAACTAAATCTATCTTTATCACTATATATATGCAATGTCTCTCACTCTCTCTCTCTCTCTCTCTCTCTCTCTCTCACACACACACACACATATACACATACAAAATTGCAGACACTCCTACAAAAATCACTAAAGGAAGCCGAGTAGAAAGAAGTAACCATCAGTTGGAAGAAGATAGAATTATGGTTTTCTGCAAAATAAACAGCTCAAAATGTGAATTATTTTTAATTTGTAATAGAGATGTCAAAATCAAACCAGTAGACAAATTTCACTAAGTGTTATAATAGAGGGCAGAAAGTGGGGACCGAAATCCGAAGTCGTATTTCAATAGCAATATATGACTCACCAAAACTAAGCAATATACAATTTCGTTAGAAAAAAAGGGGTGCTTCATTGCTATAATATATCAAACCCTCTGGCAGTGAATACTGGATAATTTCTTCGCATAGATATCGTTCTACAGAAGGATGCTGGTAATTACGCAGATGGAGAATGTAAGCAACAAGTAACATTTAACGGAAAGGACACACATTAGAACCAGAAAGACAAAATTGAAATTACTAGGATACATAATGAGGAACAAAAGCTTGGAAAATATGACACTCACAATGTATAATGAAAATAAAGAAGCACGTATGCTACCTAACGCATATATGTAAATAGATGGCAGAATAGCAGGGATAGTAAAAAGAAAACCTTACGAGCTACAAGACAGAAAGTTGTGGAGAGACATGATAGCCTATGACCTGAAGAGACCCGGTACACGCCAGAAGAATACTGTACCAAATATCATGCAAATATGTGCCTTTATAATGCAATTACTATTAATCAACTGCTTACGGTGGAGTAATGGATAGCTGCTCGGATTGACGAATCGAAAAGGCAAGTTCGAATTCCAGTCGAATCCATTATATGCACTTACGTGCTAATACCATTGGGAAAAGGTATGAAACCTCTTCTTGTCCCTCCCAGTTTTGGGTAAATAGCAGGACAGACCGGGTTCTATAGCAACTGGTCTATCGCAGAAAGAAATGGCAACCTACTGCGGGAAACATTCTGCCTCGTCAGACATGTATCAAAAGATATATTATCGCCTAAGTGTGTATTACGCATCACACATAACTGACTGTTGGTGTAATTTTCAAGATATGCTTATATAGTATGTTAAATACATCATGTGAATTTGAGGTTATAATATATTTTTAAAAATAATATATACAATTTGGTAGTGTGAATTTTGATTATGCAACGTAAGGGTTTAATTTCCGATATATAAAGATTATCATGGATTATAAAAAAAGAAGATATAACGTCGAAAGATAAACAAGATATAGTAAAGTTACTGCATCATGGGGACATATTTATTGAAAAAAAAGAAATCGAAAATATTGTCAAGATAAAAAATAAATGGGTTTAAAATACATAAATCTAACACAAATTAAAATGGTAATAAGTCGTTTGAGAAACAAGAAAATATTTGAAATTAGTTTTGTGAATACAGAGCAAAAAGATGCAGAACATTAAGAAAATTTGATATAGACATAAAACAACCAATACACTATCTTTAAACATTAGAAAATAAACATGGCAATTGAGCAAATAAATTTTATAAAACTGATTTCTTAGCAGTAATTCTTAGTAATAAATGCAGAGCAAGCAACGAAGTATTGATCTGATGTGTGAGTTGGTGTTTTTCAGAGAAATAGTCAACCAACACAACTTAGACGTCAATAGTTGTACTAGAATTGTAGGTAGAAAATTATACATGAATTTAAAATTGATGTTGTCAAAAAAATTGAGAAATTATTGTACACTTTATGGCGTTTTTTGTAATAGTACAGGTCACGATTTAGACGTTATTTTACTAACACTTTTATTAATAATCGCGAAAAACATGTTAATCAGCTGCTCCAGATTACATTCACTCATTTCCTCCAATAGTATAATATAAACACGTACATCTTCCTCTACTCGTCGGTAACAAACGACTCATTTTTGTCTGTCTTTCAAGAAGTCCATACGTGTTAGATTAGAAATCCTTGCTTGAAATATTATTCACAAAACAAGCAACGACCACTATAAGAATTAAGTTGTCTCACCACGTATATGATCTACATAAATATATTTTCACCCATATATACACTTCTTAATGAAATATTCAAAATATCTCCACTTGATCAAATACTTGTCTACGCATAACTGTGGATGAGATCACTGAAATATAAGTATATGTCTGAGAAGTTTAGATACGTAAATACTCAACGTCGAATCCTGTTGTTCAAAGCAATGTGTTCACTTTGTTTGGCTCACGGTAACAAGTTTTATGTTTAAATTATGAGACGTGAAATTTGCCTTAAAATGAGATAACGATCCTTATATATACTTGACATGGGCAAATTAAGCAAAAACAACAACAACAACAAAAATAAAACAACCAAAAATGACAAAACGTTTTTATGAGTAAGAATTCAAAAGGCGAACTCTTCCATTACTTTTTATAGAAACATAGATCACTTGTTGAAAAAAAAAAAAAACTACAGCGAAGCAACAACATTCTAAATGTCTTTGAGATGCGTAGGTTTATTCATGGAAAAGATCAAAATTAGCAAATGAATAAAAAGAAATAAACTTTTAAAAAATCCTTGACATTTTCCCCTCTTTCAATGCATTGTCCTTGAAGAAAAGAATTACGTTTACATTGATTTGCAGATAATGACGAGAATCAAGAAGCAATATACAGATGACTTTATTAAGTTAGAACGAAGGATTTTAGTAGCTTCTGGGTTTAACTGTAAAAAGCTTTGAAGGCTCAAAAGGTCTCAGACTAAATAATACAAGAAAGAAAACTCCGCTGAAAAATATATTTCGAATTTTAGATTTCTTGTTTCACAAAAAGGAAAAAAATAACAAGACATGTACTTTTGGGTTATTAACGAATAATAGGCGCCAATTGAGCTTTACAGACCTATAACTTGAGAGAGAAAAATGACTGCATATGAATATGTAAATATAGACAGAAATAGATATTCATATACACATAAACATGCAGGCATTTAAGAGACTGTATAGAAATAGATATTCATAGTCATGATATCAACTTTCTCTCAGTTTCGCTCTCGGTATGATGTCTTTTTCGCAGAGTCTAAAGATATTGTTAATCAAGACGCCAAATCCATTTACATCGCATATAAAGATTTTTTTTTTTTTTTTTTTTGCAAACAGCAGACTGTTAGAATGAAGAACTGGAGAAAAATCAGATGTAAAAAAAAATAGTTTCTTCCAAAATATGGAAAGAGATATTTGCATTTGAAAATGTATTTTCAGTTAAAATAACTATGAAAAATCAATACAAATAGAATTTGAACGCCCGATAAACATTTTAAAAACCTACGGAAATTCAAATAATTGTTGAAAATGAATAGAAATTTCGTTTTATTTCCTGAATTTATTTATTAAAGCATTTCTTAAAAAAAAAGAAAAATGTTAGCGGACGTATTTTTTCTTTAATATAAATAACTACGCTCGCGAATGAAATCTCAGTAAAATGACGCATGATCGTGAATTAGATTTGCTTTTTAAGAGATTATTCACTGATGGAATAAAATCAAATAAGTTTTCTTTTGCAAAAAAAAACAAAAAAAAAAAACAACAAAAAACAAAAACAAAAAAAAAAACACGCTACAATTTCCATTATCCCCTAAATTCAAAATTAAATGCAATGTTTATATTCTGAATATTAAAACAGTTCTTTGTTTTTGTGATATGGAATAACGTTTCCTTTTTCTTCTTCCTTTTCTTCTTCTTCTTCTTCTTCTTCTTCTTCTTCTTCTTCTTCTTTTTTCTTCTTCCTTTCGTCTTCCTTTTCGTTGTATTTTTCATCTTTTTCTTCTACCTTTTCTTCTTCCTTTTTTCTTCCTTTTCTTCTTCATCGTCTTCTTTCTTTTCTTTTTTCTTCTTCCTTTCGTCTTCCTTTTCTTTGTACTTTTCATCTTTTTCTTCTTACTTTTCTTCTTCCTTTTCTTCTTCTTTCACTTTTTTTTTTTCTTCTTCCTTTCGTCTTCCTTTTCTTTGTACTTTTCATCTTTTTCTTCTTCTTTTTCTTCTTCCTTTTCTTCTTCTTTCTTTTCTTTTTTCTTCTTCCTTTCGTCTTCCTTTTCTTTGTACTTTTCATCTTTTTCTTCTTACTTTTCTTCTTCCTTTTCTTCTTCTTCTTCCTTTTCTTTTTTCTTCTTCCTTTCGTCTTCCTTTTCTTTGTACTTTTCATCTTTTTCTTCTTCTTTTTCTTTTTCATCGTCTTCTTTCTTTTCTTTTTTCTTCTTCCTTGCGTCTTCCTTTTCTTTGTACTTTTCGTCTTTTTCTTCTTACTTTTCTTCTTCCTTTTCTTCTTCTTTCTTTTCTTTTTTCTTCTTCCTTTCGTCTTCTTTTTCTTTGTACTTTTCATCTTTTCTTCTTTTTTTCTTTTTCTTTTTTTTCCTTCTTCTTCTTCTTCTTTTTCTTTTCTTTTTCCTTTCGTCTTCCTTTTCTTTGTACTTTTCATCTTTTTTTCTTCTTACTTTTCTTCTTCCTTTTTCTTCTTCTTCCTTTTCTTTTTCTTCTTCCTTTCGTCTTCCTTTTCTTTGTACTTTTCATCTTTTTTTCTTCTTTTTTTTTTTTCATCGTCTTCTTTTTTTCTTTTTTTCTTCTTCCTTGCGTCTTCCTTTTTCTTTTGTACTTTTCGTCTTTTTCTTCTTACTTTTCTTCTTCCTTTTCTTCTTCTTTCTTTTCTTTTTTCTTCTTCCTTTCGTCTTCTTTTTCTTTGTACTTTTCATCTTTTTCTTCTTACTTTTCTTCTTCCTTTTTTCTTCCTTTTCTTCTTCATCTTCTTTCTTTTCTTTTTTCTTCTTCCTTTCGTCTTCCTTTTCTTTGTACTTTTCATCTTTTTCTTCTTACTTTTCTTCTTCCTTTTCTTCTTCTTCTTCCTTTTCTTTTTTCTTCTTCCTTTCGTCTTCCTTTTCTTTGTACTTTTCATCTTTTTCTTCTTCTTTTTCTTCTTCCTTTTCTTCTTCTTCTTTCTTTTCTTTTTTCTTCTTCCTTTCGTCTTCCTTTTCTTTGTACTTTTCATCTTTTCTTCTTACTTTTCTTCTTACTTTTCTTCTTCATCTTCCTCTTCTTCTTCTTCTTCTTCTTCTTCTTCTTCTTCTTCCTTTTACTATTGTTTTTTCTGTTTATTCTTCAGAATATGAACGACTATGACACTTCAAAAATTTATATCCCTTGTGGTCCGTAACAAATTTTCTCCTTTTGCTAAAGCTAACCCCGTTCAGTTATCTATTTACACAAGCTTGTCAGTTCGATGGCTTGTTGTCATCCCTATTTCTCTTGCCCTCAACATACTCTGTGAAGATTAAGTTTTCTAAGCACTCCTTCTTCATTATGTGGCCAAGGAATTTCAGCAGTCCTAATTTTTCCATTTTCTTTAAAACTACAAAATCAAATTATCTGCAGATCTACAAATCCATATTTCTGTTGTGTCGAGTTATCACCTAATCTGTAAGCAGATTATCCAACATTCACTGTCATATAAGACGATGGATATCACATAGCGAAGCAACGCTGTTTTGTTTGATTAATTTTATTTATTAACAAGGACGTATGAATTTCGCCACATGTACAGAGCTATTTCAATTTGGGCCCATTACGGTGAAAGTAATAATGAATATTTTACTAACTGAACCCACACGCTTCTATGTAAGTCAACTTATAATAAACCCAATCTGGATTTCGTTCTGGTAAGAATTGCAATGATCAAAAATCTTGAACAATTTGTACGTCTGCAATGTTCACCTCACAGCAGCATCTGGCTACATCAATAGAGACTTCCTTTCCTCATTCATCAGAAACCGTCTTCCAAGTTCTGATTTCACTGAATGTTTCGATGTGATTGGGTATCCGAGCTCGTAGGGTCAGACAAAAATTTCCTGTCGACCCCATAAAAAACGGGGTTGGGTAGTTGTTTCCTGAGACGAGATATAGCCTCGTCTGAAGATCCTCTCTGCCTCCGGGCAGTGAGTTTCCTCAACATAGCTGAAGACGAATCTCCAACATACAATATTTACTACTGTATTTATGTGAATGGGGACATACCCATTATCGTCTGTAAGTATGCGGCAACAAAGCAAAAAATGAGATAATCATGATTTTGATTTCCACACGAACTCAAACAAAAACTTTAAAAGGAAACTCCTATTAAAACAAGAAAGTGCGACAAGAGATATTGGACTTGGGAGTAAATGCTCAGGCCGGTAAAGGTTAAGGCACGTTAGGTTATATGACGGTTCCGTATAGGATACAGGTTCGATTCCTGTCGGAGGCCGAATATTTTCCATGAGAATTTCTCGGACATTCAAACCGGTAAATGTTATTAATGCTGTTTATTATAACAGAGCATCCACTTAAATATTTATATCTAGAAAAAGAATGTATAAACATAAAAATGTCTTTATATATATATATATATACGGAAAAGCTATTCTGGCTAATATATTCTTTTTAAGCTTACACATTGAAGAGTGTTCTTTATCTAGCCACATTTTTGTTCAACTTTCATTTTCATAGTATATTTTTTCATTACCAACAGCGTATTGTCCAAAACTGATTTGACTGCCTATCAAACAACTATTTCTTTAGCTATTTCAACAGTAAACAGGTGGGACCTAAATGCCAATCTAGTATCACGCTTAAATTCATGTAGTCTGGGCACCAGGGCAAAAGGCTCGTCAGAGCTGTTGTCATTAAAATATTTGTAGAAAAGACAGAGAGAAGCCACGTCATGTCGAAATGCGGTCCGATATGAATATTCAGACGTTTAACGGAATCCATTTTTCTGAATCCTTTCTAAAACTTGTAAAGGGTGTTCTGCCGTTGACTGATTCGTATCTAATTTTTAAGATCAAAGGTTTATTTTGATTCATCTTTCCTCAAAATTCTTTCAATTTCTCATTTCTTTTTTTAAGTTCCATGTTCTTCAAAAGAGGCATTTGATGCCGAATCAATATTTATTTTGGAAATATCAAACCGTTCCCAATATGTTTTTTGCGTCGATAGATGCTTCTGTGATGAAGTGACTACATTTTTCTACAGATCAAACATGGCGTGTAAGCAATGTCACATGTGTAATATTTGTAAAAATAAATGACAAAATTATTCATATCCACACACACACACACACACACACACACACACACACACACACACACACACACACACACACACACACGAATACACACACATGCAAATGAAAACAGGCAGATATGACCTATTTTTCTCTCTGATGTATGTATGCATATGTGTGCGTATAATATATATGTAAAGAGCAAGAAAGAAAGGATATGTAAGTATAAATTCAGAAAGCTATATATACTTGTACATACGGTAATAAATATACATGCTTAAAAATAAATGAGTGAATGGCGAGCTCTGAAGAGCAGAAAGATGTGGTGAATATAGTCACAATTTTTATGCCTTGTGATGAAATTGTACGCAGAACTGGAAAGATTCCAAAAATTCTTTAAAAAAACATAGATGGTTACTGACCAATTAATAATTTGTTATATATATATATATATATATATATATATATATATATATATATATATATAAAATATATATATATAATTTTTGTATATATATAATTATTTATTTAAAAATATGATTCCAACGCAATATAACTGTTTGTAAATATATATATATATATATATATATATATATGTGTGTGTGTGGTTTCTCGCGAAATATAAAAAGAATAATCAAGGATATGAATATTTTCATAAAATTATATATATACAAAAAGGTACATATATTGATAAATATGTATCTGTAAAGACTCTTAAACGTAAAGATAATCTACTACGAACACATATATATATATATATATATATATATATATATATATATATATATATATATATATATATATATATATATATATATATATATATATATATATATATATATATATATATATATATATATATATATATATATATATATATATATCAACTACTATCATAGGCATGGTAAATGTAAATAAACAATTCTCTGATGGACGAAATAAAAACGTTGGTTGGATCCAGTGACTTGACCAAAAGTGTTTTGATTTCAATACCTGGCTACGGCAGTGGTGAAGAAAAACATGGAGAGCTGAGTTAAAGGGAGATAACTGAGACATCCAAAACTGAGATACGGAACTAGAACAATCTACTCCGGCGGATAAAATAAAGAGTTCAGTTCGAAATTCCAAGCGTACAATGGACGAAACGTGGTGAATATCGTAGTAAAAATGAGTACAACAGTGCGAACAACGTAAACACACACACACACACACACACATATATATATATATATATACATATATATATATATATATATATGGATGTCTATTTTCCCCACCCTTCGGTGAGATTTGTGGACGTTTAAATGGTATGCACACATCAAATCTTGGACCTTCCTGAGTGGTTTTATGTGTTACCAACCGCTTGATGATTACGCGAAAACGTAAAACTGTTAGTCATGTCTGGTTACTGCTTCGTTGAAATTTAATTATATATATATATATATATATATATATATATATATATATATATATATATATATATATATTTTCAATAAAGGTGCAATTAATTTACAAATTCATGAATTATTCATACAAAAACAAATACAAGGTTAATGATTTAATTGGAGAAATCCATCGTCGCGAACAATTCAAATAATATACAAAAACCCCCGAACCTGTTTATGAATGAAAAGATCCTTGTTTCTATAAATTTCTGTTGCATGAGTTCTTATTATTTTTACAAGCTTTCGTCTGTTTTATTTTGTATATTATTTGAATATTATATATATATATATATATATATATATATATATATATATATATATATATAGTGTTTATAGCTATGAGACCTTGCCCAAACAACAGACACCTATATTCATAAATTCGTATATGTACAGCTTACTTTTCTTTCTTAAAATTTGGATTTTTTTTTCACTCATCACATGTATGTATATAAGTTTGTGTTTTTTTTTATTATTGCAAGTACAAAATATATTTGAAACACTTTCAACTATATATCTATTTCTGTCCAAGTATTTATGGTATGGGTCGCTTGATAATAATTATCTTTTTTTTTTTGTTCCCTTTCAAAACAATCCTGTGTCGGTCTCCCAATATACTGCATCCCAGAATCAACATAATTTGACGGCAGTAGAAATATTGATTCAAAGAAATGAGTCGTGGTCTTTTTAGTTTTTTTCTTAAGAACTGTTACAATCATGTCATTTTGGTACGATGTCGGCATCAATCTCTGACTACCACTGCTGTTCGGACATACGAAATAAATATAAATAGTGGCCATGACTTTGCCACCGGAATCAATATTAAGTCTGACATGAGGCTAAACTGCTGGACCGCCCTGTCGGCTGGGGCTGTAGAATACGCTGATTGCACCTCTGCAGAGGAGTAAGACCTCCTCAATGGGACGTTCTGGATATGACGATAAACTACATCCGCGTCCTGGGTAAGACGATAAGCTACGTCCAGCAGCAAGGCCTCTGATCAGGAGGTTTCGAGGAGCGTAGAACCACCTCTTAATTGATGGTGTTCCCAGGTCTACCCTGACCCGGGGTGGTAGCACCTGTTAGGGCTCCACCTATGGGCAAATAGTTAATCCTGAAACTGGAGTCAAAACACTATGAAAGTGTAAAAATAGTTTTTAATACCAGAAATACTTTGTAAAAAAAAAATACCAGCAATACATTTTTGGAAAAAAATAATATTACTTGCAATACAGTTTTGAAGGAAAATTTATGATCAGAAATAGATTTTTGACAAAACAAAATATTACCAGCAATAAAAATTTTGTCGGCATTAAATAACCCATTGATATGCCGTAAAACAAACCAAACCAAACGGAAATAAACTGCTAGATATCTGGTATCTTGTTTCTTTTTGATTACAGCGTTTCATAAATAAATTATTTAAGTACAGAGGTATTAACAAAATAAAGAAAAGGCAGCAAGTTTTCTTCCATTTTCTTAAAAAGTCAGCGAGACTTCTCGAGTTCTGGAGAGAATTGACGGAAGACAAGTAGAAGCAGAACAAAAACTTGAGTAAAAAAATATATGTATATTTTCATTAAAGAAAATACATAAGAGTGCAATGCACTAGGGAAAAATATTTCTGCATATTTATGTGAAAAGGACAGTTTGGTAGTCGCGAATGAGCGTTGTCTTGACAGTTTACTGCCTATTGTTGCTGCTGGAGAACTCGAGCTTCCGATGGTGATGGCTGAAACTGCTGCTCATGACTGAAACCGTGGGACGGCTGTCGACAGCTGGAACAGATACTACATATTGATCCTGAGCTACCAAACTGGCTTTTTGAGTTTTCAGACCTTTTTTTATATCCTGAATCAGTTTAACAAAGATCGCCTGTTAAGCTTTTCGTCCGGTTGTTTTACAATAATGTGGGAGTGCCAACAGAATACACTCGATCTTTTAACGTTTCAGTAAATAAGGTGTTTCAGATTCGGCTTAATCACTTACATTTAAAGAAAGTGTTTAACAGAGAAATAAAGCTGTCGAAATAAAATAAAGAAGGCGTATTCTCACTTCGAAATAACAGAATTCTTAATTTTCGTTGAGAAATTTTACTTAAACAATAACGACGATGCTTTGTAGCATTATGATATAAAATATTGGATGCATGAAGAGCTTTGGTGACAAAATCTTATCAGACACTTCATCTTGAAAAAATGATTTATTACAGACAGCGTTGGAGAATGCTCTACTTGAAGTGACGAACTAGGCATTTCGAAAACTCTCGATGTTTTTGCACAAGTACTTATTATGTCTCTGTTGAAGTTAACACTTTTTCTCTGCCGCTGAAGGATCGATTTACACACCACACCGTCACAAGACACACCCTGTTAAATAAACCTCATCTACACGTAAAAATGCTTACGGACATAGCACGTTGAAAAATACTTCTGGTACGATCAACGATGTTAAGCAACATCGAACCTGTTCAGTATATAGATGAGTGACTGTTTGGGAATATTAGTTGCTGTAAACTTGGATGTGGGGATGGTGTAATAGGCAACTGCTCTGAACTGTAACTCGAAGTGCCGAGCTCCAATTCAAATCGGGTTCATTATATTCACTTATGGGAAAATACCCGTGCGAAAGGTACGAATCCACTTCTTTCCCCACCCCAGCTATGAGTTAATTAAGAGGGTATGTACCAGTAAGTCATTATTATCTCCACAGAAATGTTACAATCTAAAAGATATGTCTCGTTAAATAACCTGCGAAAGGTTGATAATCCGTAAAAAAACAACTCAATCCATACGCAGAAGTAACACTACTGTCTAGATGGAGATATTGAATGCTTTTGATATAATTACCAAACCAAATTTCGTCATAATATGGGAAAAACATTCAAAACTTAACATTTTTATTTGTTTCATCATGCTTGCTTGCTTCGATGACTCTTCAGAACGTGTGTGTTCATGGGTCTCCAAATCTTCCTCAGCTTCATCATGTACTGACACCGTAATTATGAAGAAATTTTTCATTTCTGATACAACACCATCGAAGAGAGAATGTTGCGTAAATAGATTCGATGGAATCTATTTGTTTTATGCATAATAGACAGATTTATGTCGAAATTTCTTCTTCTGCTTATTTATAAAGTAAAAGGGGCGGTAGAATTAATTTGTTACTAAACAAGATTCATGTATTGTAAATAACATTTTACAAGTACAAAAGATAAGTATCTTTTACAAGTACAAAAAATAAGTATCTTAAACGAGAAAATTGGCATTAAAATAAATAAAGACCCAGTATTTAAAATATATCACTCATGATGTGGTCACCAAGTGCTAACTAAATTGAAAACTAACTAAATTAACTGTCACTGGATCGAAATTGAAAACTAACTAAATTAACTGTCACTGGATCTAACCAACGACTTTATCCACTGTGCCATGTGATCGTTGAGGACATCTGGGTATGAATTTTTGGGTATTAGAAACCTAATGTCATTACCATTTTTACCAGTGCTCATATTGCAATTTTGCTGTTATCATTCCATGTTTATCTATGTTGTTATCATTGCTTTTCTCTGGCACTCCTTATTACTGGTTCTCATATTGTATTTATTTCTATGCTTGGTCGGCTCAGGAGATTTTTGTGGCCTAGCATATGTGCAGATTCTTTAAGTTTACGAAGTTTCCAATGGTGTTCCTTGTCAAAGATCTCAACTTGATCCCACAGAGGCAAGTGATCTCCCTTCTCTCTCCATATGTGGTCAGCAACGCCTGATTTTTCTACTTTCCCTCGTGTTACAGCTTTCTGGTGTTCTTGAAGCCTTACCTTGATGGGGCGGCCTGTCTCTCCTTTATATTCTTTTCCGCGGCTGCATGGGATAGCGTACACACATCAAACATGGCACGTGGAACTAGAACAGTCTACCCCGGTGAGCGAAATAAAGGGTTCAGTTCGACATACCAACCAACTGAAGAAGGCTGGAGTGTACAACGGCCGAAACGTTGTGATAAATATGGCGACAAAGATTAGGACAATAGTCCGAATAATGTAAATAATGTACATAATACGTCATCTCAGAAATATAGACAGACTCACAGGGATAGACGTTAAGAAAAAAAACATTATTTGACTGACTAGCTAATCGGGGGAAGATTAGTTTGAGGTTTTGGGTTAGGGAAGAAAAATTAATGTTGTCAAAGTTGATTTTTGAACAGCAGAGTGAAGAGATCTAACAACAAATCTTGGTCCTCAATTCCTACTGATCGTCGAGGATGACAACGGGGAAGTGGTGAACATCGTACCCATTGGGGCTGGATAGAGTAAATTTTCGTTGTACTTTACAATTTCAAAGCCGATTTATAACGTTGTACTAAATTTGTTTTTATGCAGCCTTCTTGCCACCACGACAAGACTAGAGAAATTGCCAGAGAAATCCATCAAGATCTAAGAAGACCGGAGAAGCCAGTCGAAACTGACTAACTCCAACTCTGATCGTCACGATCAACAACCACAAGAAGAACACTGATCATCACGATCAACAACTACAAGAAGAACACTGATCGTCACGATCAACAACCTCAAGAAGGACACTAATCGTCACGATCAACAACTACAAGAACACTGATCGTCACGATCAACAATCACAAGAAGAACACTGATCGTCACGATCAACAACCACAAGAAGTACACTGATTGTCACGATCAACAACCACAAGAACACTGATTGTCACGTCACAATCAACAACTACAAGAACAACACTGAACGTCACGATCAACATCCACAAGAAGAACACTGATCGTCACTGATCGTCACAAGAACAACTGATCGTCACAACAACAACAAGAGAACACTGATCGTCAACATCAACAATTCAAGAACACTGATCGTCACGATCGACAACTACAAGAACACTGATCGTCACAATCAACAACAACAAGAAGAACACTGATCGTCAAAATCAACAACTTCAAGAACACTGATCGTCACGATCAACAACCACAAGAAGAACACTGATCGTCACGACCAACAACTACAAGAAGAACACTGATCGTCACGATCAACAACTACAAGAACACTGATCGTCACAATCAACAACTACACGAAGAACACTGATCGTCACGATCAACAACTACAAGAAGAACACTGATCGTCACGATCAACAACTACAAGAAGTACACTGATTGTCACGATCAACAACTACAAGAAAACTGATCGTCACGATCAACAATCACAACAAGAACACTGATCGTCACGATCAACAACCACAAGAAGAACACTGATCGTCACGATCAACAATCACAAGAAGAACCCTGATTGTCACGATAAACAACTACAAGAACACTGATTGTCACGATCAACAACTACAAGAACATTGATCGTCACGATCAACCACTACGCGAAGAACACTGATCGTCACAATCAACAACTACAAGAAGAACACTGATCGTCATGATCAACCACTACGAGAAGAACACTGATCGTCACGATCAACAAATCATTAAGAAGAACACTGATCGTCACGATCAACAACCACAAGAAGAACCACGATCGTTGTCACGATCAACAACTACAAGAAGAACACTGATCGTCACGATCAACATCCACAAGAAGAACACTGATAGTCACGATCAACAACTACATGAAGAACACTGATCGTCACGATCAACAACTACAAGAACACTGATAGTCACAATCAACAACTACAAGAAGAACACTGATCGTCACGATCAACAACTACAAGAAGAACACTGATCGTCACGATCAACAACCACAAGAAGAACACTGATCGTCACGATCAACAACTACAAGAAGAACACTGATCGTCACGATCAACAAATTAAGAAGAACACTGATCGTCACGATCAACAACCTAAGAAGAACACCGATCGTCACGATCAACAACCACAAGAAGAACACTGATCGTCACGACCAACAACCGCAAGAACATTGAACGCGAACAGTCCACGATCAACAACTACATGAAGAACAACGCATCGTCACTACGATCAACAACTACAAAGAAGAACACTGATCGTCACGATCAACAACACAAGAAGAACACTGATCGTCACGGATCAACAACTACGAGAAGAACACTGATCGTCACGATCAACATCCACAAGAAGAACACTCGATCGTCACAATCAACAACTACAAGAAGAACACTGATCGTCACGATCAACAACACACAAGAACACTGATCGTCACGATCAACAATAAGAAGAAACACTGATCACGATCAACCATGAGAAGAACACTGATCGTCACGATCAACAACCGCAAGAAGAACACTGATCGTCACGATCAACAACTACGAGAAGAACATTGATCGTCACGATCAACAACTACAAGAAGAACACTGATCGTCACGATCAACAACCGCAAGAAGAACACTGATCACGATCACGAAGAACACTGATCGTCACGATCAACAACTACACAAGAAGAACACTGATCGTCACGATCAACAACCACAAGAAGAACACTGATCGTCACGATCAACAACCACAAGAAGAACACTGATCGTCACGATCAACAACTACAAAGAAGAACTGATCACGATCAACAACCACAAGAAGAACACTGATCGTCACGATCAACAACTACGAAGAAGAACACTGATCGTCACGATCAACAACTACAAGTCACGATCAGAAATTTACTGATCGTCACGATCAACAAATACAAGAAGAACACCACTGTCACGATCAACAACCAAGAAGAACACTGATAGTCAAAGAACTACAAGAAGAACACTGATAGTCACGACCAGCCAACCAAAGAAGAACACTGATCGTCACGATCAACAACCGCAAGAAGAACACTGATCGTCACGATCAACAACCATTAAGAAGAACACTGATAGTCACGATCAACAAACCTGAAGAACACTGATCGTCACGATCAACAACCACAAGAAGAACACTGATCGTCACGATCAACAACTGCAAGAAGAACACTGACTCACCGATCAACAACCAAGTCACTGATCCGATCAACAACCACAGAAGAACACTGATCGTCACGATCAACAACCAAGAAGAACAATAAGAAGAACACTGATCGTCACGATCAATGTACAAAGAAGAACACTGATCGTCACGATCAACAACCACAAGAAGAACACTGATCGTCGATCAACGAAGAACACAACAACCGATCAAGAAGAACACTGATCGTCACGATCAGCAACCACAAGAAGAACACTGATCGTCACGATCAACAACCGCAAGAAGAACAACCACGATCAACCACAAGAAGAACACTGATCGTGCGATCAACAACCACAAGAAGAACACTGATCGTCACGATCAACAACTACAAGAAGAACACTGATCGTCACGATCAACAACCACAAGAAGAACACTGATCGTCACGATCAACAACCGCAAGAAGAACACTGATCGTCACGATCACAATCAGAAGAACACTGATCGTCACGATCAACAACCACAAGAAGAACACTGATCGTCACGATCAACAACCACAAGAAGAACACTGATCGTCACGATCAACAACCGCAAGAAGAACACTGATCGTCACGATCAACAACCACAAGAAGAACACTGATCGTCACGATCAACAACCGCAACGAAGAACACTGATCGTCACGATCGTCAAGAAGAACACTGATCATCAACAACCACAAGAAGAACACTGATCGTCACGATCAACAACCACAAGAAGAACACTGATCGTCACGATCAACAAATACATTAAGAAGAACACTGATCGTCACGATCAACAACCACAAGAAGAACACTGATCGTCACGATCAGCAACCACAAGAAGAACACTGACGTCACGATCAACAACCACAAGAAGAACACTCGTCACGATCAACAACCACAAGAAGAACACTGATCGTCACGATCAACAACCACAAGAAGAACACTGATCGTCACGATCAACAACCACAAGAAGAACACTGATCGTCACGATCAACAACATCACTGATCGCCACGATCAACAACCACAAGAAGAACACGATCGTCACGATCAACAACCACAAGAAGAACACTGATCGTCACGATCAACAACCGCAAGAGAAGAACACTGATCGTCACGATCAACAACTACAAGAAGAACACTGATCGTCACGATCAACAACCACAAGAAGAACACTGATCGAAGAACACTCACGATCAACAACCACACAACGATCAGAACACTGATCGTCACGATCAACAACCACAAGAAGAACACTGATCGTCACGATCAACAAATCACAAGAAGAATACCGATAGTCACGATCAACATCCACAAGAAGAACACTGATCGCCACGATCAACAACCACAAGAAGAACACTGATCGTCACGATCAACAAATCATTAAGAAGAACACCGATAGTCACGATCAGCAACTACATGAAGAACACTGATCGTCATGATCAACAACTACGAGAAGAACACTTCGATAGTCACGATCAACAACCATTAAAGAAGAACACCGATCGTCACGATCAACAACCACAGAAGAACACGGATCGTCACGATCAACAACCACATGAAGAACACTGATCGTCACGATCAACAACCACAAGAAGAACACTGATAGTCACGACTCAGCAACTACATGAAGAACACTGATCGCCACGATCAAAACTACAAGAAGAACACTGATCGTCACGATCAACAACTACAAGAAGAACACTGATCGTCACGATCAACAACTATAAGAAGAACACTGATCGTCACGATCAACAACCACAAGAATAACACTGATCGTCACGATCAACAATCGCAAGAAGAACCCTGATAGTCACGATAACAACAACTAACAAGAAGAACAACTGATCGTCACGATCAACAACTACAAGAAGAACACCATCGTCACGATCAACAACCAAGAAGAACACTGATAGTCACGATCAACAACTACAGAAGAACACTGATCGTCACGATCAACAACTACAAGAAGAACACTGATCGTCACGATCAACAATCACAAGAAGAACACTGATCGTCTGATTGTCACGATAAACAACATACAAGAACACTGATCGTCACGATCAACAACCACAAGAACAACACTGATCGTCAGAAGAACGATCAAATCAACAACTAAGAAGAACACTGATCGTCACGATCAACAACCACAAGAAGAACACTGATCGTCACGATCAACAACAACACTGATCGTCCGATCAACAAGAAGAACACTGATCGTCACGATCAACAACCACAAGAAGAACACTGATCGTCACGATCAACAACCACAAGAAGAACACTGATCGTCACGATCAACAAATTGAACCAACAGAAGAAGAACACTGATCGTCACGATCAACAACTAAGAAGAACAATTGATTGTCACGATCAACAACTGAAGAACACTGATAGTCACGATCAACAACTACAGAAGAACACTGATCGTCACGATCAACAACTAAAGAAGAACACTGATCGTCACGATCAACAACCGAAGAAGAACACTGATCGTCACGATCAACAACCAAAGAAGAACACTGATCGTCACGATCAACAACCACAAGAAGAACACCGATCGTCACGATCAACAACTACATGAAGAACACTGATCGTCACGATCAACAACCACAAGAAGAACACTGATCGTCACGATCAACAACCACAAGAAGAACACTGATCGTCACGATCAACAACTGAAGAAAACTGATCGTCACGATCAACAACTACAAGAAGAACACTGATAGTCACGATCAACAACCACAAGAAGAACACTGATCGTCACGATCAACAATCACAAGAAGAACACTGATCGTCACGATCAACAACTCGTCACGATCAACAACTACAAAGAAGAACACTGATCGTCACGATCAACAACCACAAGAAGAACACTGATCGTCACGATCAACAAACTGCAAGAACACTGATCGTCACGATCAACAACCACAAGAAAACTGATCGTCACGATCAACAACTCACAAGAAGAACACTGATAGTCGATCAACAACCACATGAAGAACACTGATCGTCACGACTGATCAAAACCACAAGAAGAACCCTGATTGTCACGATAAACAACTACAAGAACACTGATTGTCACGATCAACAACTACAAGAACATTGATCGTCACGATCAACCACTACGAGAAGAACACTGATCGTCACAATCAACAACTACAAGAACACTGATCGTCATGATCAACCACTACGAGAAGAACACTGATCGTCACGATCAACAACCACAAGAAGAACACTGATCGTCACGATCAACATCCACAAGAAGAACACTGATCGTCACGATCAACAACTACATGAAGAACACTGATCGTCACGATCAACATCCACAAGAAGAACACTGATAGTCACGATCAACAATCATGAAGAAAACTGATCGTCACGATCAACAATCAAGAAGAACACGATCGTCACGACCAATCACAAGAAGAACACTGATAGTCACGATAAACAACTACATGAAGAACACAACTGATCGTCACGATCAACAACTACAAGAAGAACACCTGATCGTCACGATAAACAACCACAAGAAGAAGAACCTGATAGTCACGATCAACAACTAAAGAACACTGATCGTCACGATCAACAACTACGCGAAGAACACTTGATCGTCACGATCAACAACCACGAGAAGAACACTGATCGTCACGATCAACAACTACATGAAGAACACTGATCGTCACGATCAACAACCATGAAGAAGAACACTGATCGTCAACGATCAAAGAACCATTGTCAAGAAGAACACTGATCGTCACGATCAACAACTACAAGAAGAACAATCGATCGTCCGATCAACATCCATGAGAAGAACACTGATCGTCACGATCAACAACCGCAAGAAGAACACTGATAGTCGCGATCAACAACTACATGAAGAACACTGATCGTCACGATCAACAAACTACAAGAAAGAAGAACACTGATCGTCACGATCAACAACTACAAGAAGAACACTGATCGTCACGATCAACAACCTCCAAGAAGAACACTGATAGTCACGATCAACAACCATTAAGAAGAACACTGATCGTCACGATCAAACAACTACAAGAAGAACACTGATCGTCACGATCAACAACAACAAGAAGAACACTGATCGTCACGATCAACAAACAACACTGATCGTCACGAAGAACAACTGAAGAAATAGATCACGAAGAAGAACACTGATCGTCACGATCAACAACCACAAGAAGAACACTGATCGTCACGATCAACAAACACAAGAAGAACACCTGATCGTCACGATCAACAACCACAAAGAACACTGATTGTCACGATCAACAAATCAAAGAAGAACATTGATTGTCACGATCAACAACTACAAGAAGAACACCGATCGTCACGATCAACAACCACAAGAAGAACACTGATCGTCGATCAACAACCACAAGAAGAACACTTGATCGTCACGATCAACAAATCACAAGAAAGAACACTGATCGTCATCGACATCCACAAGAAGAACACTTGATCGTCACGATCAACAACCGTACAAGAAGAACACCGATCACGATCAACATCCACAAGAAGAACACTGATCGTCACGATCAACAACTACAAGAAAACTGATCGTCACGATCAACAATCACAAGAAGAACATTGATCGTCACGATCAACAAATTACAAGAAGAACACTGATCGTCACGATCAACAACTACAAGAAGAACACCGATCGTCACGATCAACAACTACATTGAAGAAATTACAAGAACACCGATTGTCACGATCAACAACTACAAGAAGAACATTGATCGTCACGATCAACATCTACGCGAAGAAAACACTGATCGTCACGATCAACAACTACAAGAAGAACACTGATCGTCACGATCAACAACCACAAGAAGAACACTGATCGTCACGATCAACAACCACAAGAAGAACACTGATCGTCACGATCAACATCCAATCGTCACGAGAAGAACACTGATCGTCACGATCAACAACTACATGAAGAACACTGAACGACAACATCCATAAGAAGAACACTGATAGTCACGATCAACAACTAAGAAGAACACTGATCGTCACGATCACCAACTACACAAGAAGAACACTGATCGTCACGATCAACAACCATAAGAAGAACACTGATCGTCACGATCAACAAAGAACACTGACAAGAAGAACACTTGATCGCCACGATCAACAAACTAACAAGAACACTTTGAAGAACATGTCACGATCAACGTCACGATCAACAATCAGAAGAACACTGATCGATCAACAATCACAAGTCACGATAAACAACTACAAGAACAAGAAGTCAATCACTTTGATCGTCAACGAAGATCAACAACAATCACAAATCGTCAGAACCCTGAGGAAGAACGTCACGATAAACAACCACAAGAAGAACACTGGATTTTGTTGATCAACATCCAAGAAGAACATTGATCGCTGACGAACAACAACCATCGTCAGGCCGATCACAAGAAGAACGTCGATAGTCAATCAACAACTACAAGAAGAACACTCACGATCGGTCATAAGAACGATAGTCAACCACTACGAGAAGAACACTGATCGTCACGATCAACAAACCACAAGAAGAACACTGATCGTCACGATCAACATCCACAAGAAGAACACTGATCGTCACGATCAACAACTACATGAAGAACACTGATCGTCACGATCAACATCCACAAGAAGAACACTGATAGTCACGATCAACAACTACATGAAGAACACTGATCGTCACGATCAACAACTACAAGAAGAACACTGATCGTCAAATCAACAACCGTGAAGAACACTGATAGTCACATCAACAACTACAAGAAGAACACTGATCGTCACGATCAACAACCACAAGAAGAAGAACACTGATCGTCACGACCAACAACCGCAAGAAGAATATTGATAGTCACGATCAGCACAACCATACAAGAAGAACACTGATCGTCGATCAACAACTACAAGAAGAACACCGATCGTCACGACTAACAACCAATACAAGAAGAACACTGATCGTCACGATCAAGATCTACAGAAGAACACTGATCGTCACGATCAACAACCACAAGAAGAACACTGATCGTCACGATCAACAACCACAAGAAGAACCCTGATCGTCACGACCAACAAATCAAGAAGATCACTGATAGTCACGATCAGCAACTACAAGAACATTGATCGTCACGATCAACCACTACGAGAAGAACACTGATCGTCACAATCAACAACTACAAGAAGAACACTGATCGTCATGATCAACCACTACGAGAAGAACACTGATCGTCACGATCAACAACCACAAGAAGAACACTGATCGTCACGATCAACATCCACAAGAAGAACACTGATCGTCACGATCAACAACTGCAAAGAAGAACACTGATAGATCAGTCACACTGATCGCGATCAACAAATCCACAAGAAGAACACTGAAGTCACGACCAATAACCGTAAAGGGACACTGATCGCCGATCAAAACGAAAGAACACTGATAGTCACGATCAACAACTAAGAAGAACACTGATCGTCACGATCACAATCACAAGAAGAACAATTGATCGTCACGATCAACAACCTACAAGAAGAACACTGATCGTCACGATCAACTACAAGAAGAACCCTTGATTGTCACGATAACACATCCACAAGAAGAACACTGATCGTCACGATCAACAACCACAAGAAAACACTGAACAACCGATCGTCACGATCAACAACTATTAAGAAGAAACGACTGATCGTCACAATCAACAACCGCAAGAAGAACACTGATAGTCACGATCAACAACTACGAGAAGAACAAATACTGATCGTCACGATCAACAACCACAAGAAGAACACTGATCGTCACGATCAAGAACACTACACGATCAGCAACTACATGAGAAGAAAACACACGATCGTCACGATCAACACAAACAACTAAGAAGAACACTGATCGTCACGATCAACAACCATTAGAAGACTGATCGTCACGATCAACAACCAATAAGAAGAACACTGATCGTCACGATCAACCACAAGAAGAAACACCCTGATTGCTCCGATAAACATCCATAAGAACACTGATTGTCACGAACAATCAAAGAACAAGAAGGAAACCACTATGAGAAGAAATACCTGATCGTCACAACCAATAACTACAAGAACACTGATCGTCACGACCAACCATCACCGCAAGAAGAACACTGATAGTCGCCGATCAAAGCACCACAAGAAGAACACTGATCGTCATGATCAACATCCATGAAGAACACTTATCGTCACGATCAACAACTACATGAAGAACACTGACGCCACGATCAACATCCACAAGAAGAACACTGATCAACACGATCAACAACTACATGAAGAACACTGATCGTCACGATCAACAACTACAAGAACACCGAAAAATCAACAACTCGAAGAACACTGATCGTCACAATCAACAAGAAGAACACTGATCGTCACGATCAGCAAACTACATGAAGAACACTGATCGTCGATCAACAACTACAGATCGTCACGATCAACATCCACAAGAAGAACACTGACGTCACGATCAACAACTGCAAGAAGAACACTGATCGTCACGATCAACAACCACAAGAAGAACACTGATCGTCACGATCAACAACCGCAAGAAGAACACTGATAGTCACGATCACCAATCACATGAAGAACACTGATCGTCACGATCAACACCTACGTCACGAGAAGAACACTGATCGTCACGATCAAACAAATCAAAGAAGAACACTGATCGTCACGATCAACATCCACAAGAAGAACACTGATCGTCACGATCAACAACCACAAGAAGAACACTGATCGTCACGATCAACAACCACAAGAAAAACACTGATCGTCACGATCAACAAATACAAGAAGAACACTGATCGTCACGATCAACAACTACATGAAGAACACTGATAGCCACGATCAACATCCACAAGAAGAACACTGATCGTCACGAATCAACAACTACAGAAGAACACTGATCGTCACGATCAACAACAAGAAGAACACTGATCGTCACGATCAACAACTACAAGAAGAACACCGATAGTCACGACCGACAACCACAAGAAGAACACTGATCGCCACGCCGATCAACAACCACAAAGAAGAACACTGATCATCACGACCAACCGCAAGAAGAACACCATTGATAATAGTCACGATCAGCAAGAACACCACTGATCGTCACGATCAACAACTACAAGAAGAACACTGATAGTCACGATCAACAACTACATGAAGAACACTGATCTTCACGATCAACAAACCACAAAGAAGAACACTGATCGTCACGATCAACAACTACAAGAAGAACACTGAACGTCACGATCAATCACAAGAAGAACCCAACTACATGAACACTGATCGTCACGATCAACATCCACAAGAAGAACACTGAAGAAAACAACGATCGTCACGATCAACAACACTGATCGTCACGATCAACTAACACGAGAAGAACACTGATCGTCACGATCAACAACCGCAAGAAGAACACTGATAGTCACGATCAGCAACTACGAGAAGAACACTGATCGTCACAATCAACAACCACAAGAAGAACACTGATCGTCACGATCAACAACCGCAAGAAGAACACTGATCGTCACGATCACACTGATCAATCAACATCCAAGAAGAACACTGAAGAAGAACATTGTCACCGATGAACACTGATAGTCGTCACGAACATCAACAACTACAAGAAGAACACTGATCGTCACGATCAACAACTACAAGAAGAACACCGATCGTCAATCAACAACTAAGAAGAACACTGATCGTCACGATCAACAATCGTCACGATCAAGAAGAACACTGATCGTCACGATCAACAACTACACAAGAACACTGACGCCACGAGAAGAACACTGATAGTCACGATCAACAACTATGAAGAAAACTGATCAATCAACAATCAAGAAGAAGAACACTTGATCGTCACGATAGTCAACCGCAAGAATCAGCAATCAACAACTACATGAAGAACACTGATCGTCACGATCAACAACTACAAGAAGAACACTGATTGTCACGATCAACAACCATAAGAACACTGATCGTCACGATCAACAACCGCAAGAAGAACACTGATAGTCACGATCAGCAACCACAAGAAGAACACCGATCGCACGATCAACAACCCAAGAAGAACACGATCGTCACGATCAACAACCATACAAGAAGAACACTCGATCGTCACGATCAACAACCACAAGAAGAACACTGATCGTCACGATCAACAACCGCAAGAAGAACACTGATAGTCGTCCGATCAACAACCACAAGAAGAACACTGATCGTCATGATCAACAACCACAAGAAGAACACTGATCGTCACGATCAACAACAAGAAGAAACACTGATCGTCACGATCAACAACCACAAGAAGAACACTGATCGTCACGATCAACAACAAGAAGAACACTGATCGTCACGATCAACAACAAGAAAAACACTGATAGTCAAGAACACTGAAGAACACTGATAGTCACGATCAGCAACTACATGAAGAACACTCAGCAACACATGAAGAACACTCGATCGCCACGATCAACAACCGCAAGAAGAACACTGATAGTCACGATCAACAAATTACAAGAAGAACACTGATCGTCACGATCAACAACTACAAGAAGAAATAACTGATCGTCAATCAACAATCACAAGAAGAACACTGATCGTCACGATCAACAACTAAAAAGAAGAACACTGATCGTCACGATCAACAACCACAAGAAGAACACTGATCGTCACGATCAACAACCACAAGAAGAACACTGATCGTCACGATCAACAACCATACAGAAGAACACTGATCGCCAGATCAACAACCACAAGAAGAACACTGATCGTCACGATCAACCACTACGAAGAAGAACACGATAGTCACGATCAACAACCACAAGAAGAACACTGATCGTCACGATCAACATCCACAAGAAGAACACTGATCGTCACGATCAACAACTACAAGAAGAACACTGATCGTCACGATCAACATCCACAAGAAGAACACTGATCGTCACGAATCAATACAAGAAGAACACTGATAGTCACGATCAAGAAGAACACTGATCGTCACGATCAACAACCACAAGAAGAACACTGATCGTCACGACCAACAACTACAAGAAGAACACTGATAGTCACGATCAGCAACCACAATCGCCACGATCAACAACCACAAGAAGAACACTGATCGTCACGATCAACAACTACAAGAAGAACACTGATCGTCACGATCAACAACTACAAGAAGAACACTGATCGTCACGATCAACAACTACAAGAAGAACACTGATCGTCACGATCAGCAACTACAAGAAGAACACTGATGATCGATAAAACGAAGAACACTGATCACGATCAACCAAGAAGAACCCTGATTGTCACGATCAACAACTACAAGAACACTGATCGTCACGAATCGATCAAGAACAACAAATCGTCACGATCAACCACTAAGAAGAACACTGATCGTCACGATCAACAACTACAAGAAGAACACTGATCGTCACGATCAACATCCACATGAAGAACACTGATCGTCACGATCAACAAATCTACAAGAAGAACACTGATCGTCACGATCAACATCCACAAGAAGAACAATTGATCGTCACGATCAACAACTACATGAAGAACACATGATCGTCACGATCAACAACCACAAGAAGAACACGATCAGTCACAACTATGATCAACAACTACAAGAAGAACACTGATCGTCACAACAACTATTAAGATCGTCACGATCAACAACCACAAGAAGAACACTGATCGTCACGAAACAACTACAGAAGAACACTGATCGTCACGATCAACAAACACAAGAAGAACACTGATCGTCACGATCAACAACTACAAGAAGAACACTGATCGTCACGATCAACAACCATTAAGAAGAACACTGATCGTCACGATCAACAACCGCAAGAAGAACACTGATAGTCATCGTCACGATCAACAACCACAAGAAGAACATCGTCACGATTGTCACGATCAACAACTACATGAAGAACACTGATCGTCACGATCAACAACCACAAGAAGAACACTCGATCGTCACGATCAACAACCGCAAGAAGAACACTGATCGTCACGATCAACAACCACAAGAAGAACACTGATCGTCACGATCAACAACCACAAGAAGAACACTGATCGTCACGAAAACACTCAACAACCGCAAGAAGAACACTGATAGTCACGATCAACAACCACATGAACATCCAAAGAAGAACACTGATCGTCACGATCAACAACTACAAGAAGAACACTGATCGTCACGATCAACATCCACAAGAAGAACACTGATCGTCACGATCAACAACTACAAGAAGAACACCGATCGTCACGATCAACAACTATAAGAAGAACACTGATCGTCACGATCAACAACCGCAAGAAGAACACTGATAGTCACATCAGCAACTCAAAGAACCCGCCACGATCAAACAAGAAGAACACCGATCGTCACGATCAACAACCGCAAGAAGAACACTGATAGTCACGATCAGCAACTACATGAAGAACACTGATCGTCACGATCAACAACTACAAGAAGAACACTGATCGTCACGATCAACGATCAAACTACAAGAACACTGCCACGATCAACAACTACAAGAAGAACACTGATCACGTCACGATCAACAAATTCATAAGAAGAACACTGATCGTCACGATCAACAACCGTCACGATCAGAAGAACACTGATCGTCAACAATGATCAACAACCGCAAGAAGAACACTGATACGATCAACAACCATTAAGAAGAACAACTACGATGAAGAAGAACACTGATAGTCACGGATCATCAACTACATGCAAACTACAAGAAGAACACTGATCGTCACGATCAACAACCGCAAGAAGAATACTGATCGTCACGACCAACAACTGCAAGAAGAACACTGAGGTCACATCAGCAACTACATGAAGAACACTGATCAACAACTACAAGAAGAACACCGATCGTCACGATCAACAACTACACAACGAAGAACACTGATCGTCACGATCAACAACTACAAGAAGAACACCGATCGTCACGATCAACAACCACAAGTAAGAACACTGATCGTCACGATCAACATCCACAAGAAGAATGACGTCACGATCACCACAAGAAAACACTGATCGTCACGATCAACAATCACAAGAAGAACACTGATCGTCGATCAACAACCACAAGAAGAACACTGATCGTCACGATCAAAACAACGCACAGAAATCACAAGAAGAACACTGATCGTCACGATCAACACTACAAGAAAGAACACTGATCGTCACGATCAACAACAACTAGAAGAACACTGATCGTCACGATCAACAAAATCACAAGAAGAACACTGATCGTCAGAAACTACATGAAGAACACTGATCGTCACGATCAACAAGAAGAACATACACGATCAACAACTACAAGAAGAACACTGATCGTCACGATCAACAACCACAAGAAGAACACTGATCGTCACGATCAACAACTACAAGAAGAACACTGATCGTCACGATCAACATCCACAAGAAGAACACTGATCGTCACGATCAACCAACTGATCGTCACGATCAACAACCGCAAGAAGAACACTGATCGTCACGAACAACAACTGATCGTCACGATCAACAACTACAAGAAGAACACTGATCGTCACGATCAACAACTACAAGAAGAACACTGATCACGATCAACAAATCAAGAAGAACACTGATCGTCACGATCAACAACTACAAAGAAAACTGATCGTCACGATCAGAACACTGATCGTCACGATCAACAACTACGAAGAAGAACACTGATCGTCACGATCAACAAACCACAAGAAGAACACTGATCGTCACGATCAACAACTACAAGAAGAACATCAACCACTACGATCGTCGTCACGATCAACAACTACAAGAAGAACACTGATCGTCACGATCAACATCCACAAGAAGAACACTGATCGTCACGATCAACAACTACAAGAAGAACACTGATCGTCACGATCAACATCCACAAGAAGAACACTGATCGTCACGATCAACAATCACATGAAGAACACTGATCGTCACGATCAACAACCAAGAAGAACACCGATAGTCACAATCAACAAATCCACAAGAAGAACACTGATCGTCACGATCAACAACCAAAGAAGAACACTGATCGTCACGATCAACAAACTACAAGAAGAACACTGATCGTCACGATCAACAACCGCGAAGAACACTGATAGTCAATCAACAACTACAAGAAGAACACTGATCGTCACGATCAACAACCACGAGAAGAAGCACTGATCGTCACGATCAACAACCACAAGAAGAACACTGATCGTCACGATCAACATCCACAAGAAGAACACTGATCGTCACGATCAACAACTACAAGAAGAACACTGATCGTCACGATCAACAACTACAAGAAGAACACTGATCGTCACGATAAACAACAAAGAACCTGATTGTCATAAACAAGAACACTGATAGTCACGATCAACAAATACAAGAACATTGATCGTCACAATCAACAACTACAAGAAGAACACCGATCGTCACAATCAACAAAGAAGAACACTGATCGTCACGATCAACAACTACAAGAAGAACACTGATCGTCACGATCAACAACCGCAAGAAGAACACTGATCGTCACGATCAACAACTACAAGAAGAACACTGATCGTCACGATCAACAACCACAAGAAGAACACTGATCGTCACGATCAACAACCACAAGAAGAACACTGATAGTCACGATCAACAACTACAAGAAGAACATTCGATAGTCACGATCAACAACATGAAGAACACTGATCGTCACAACTACAAGAAGATCAACAACAACCGCAAGAAGAACACTGATCGTCACGATCAACAACCACAAGAAGAACACTGAACAACAACCAAGAACACTGATCGTCACGATCAACAACTACAAGAAGAACACTGATCGTCACGATCAACAACCACAAAGAAGAACACTGATCGTCACGATCAACAACCGCAAGAAGAACACTGATCGTCACGATCAACAACCACAAGAAGAACACTGATCGTCACGATCAACAACCAAGAAGAACACTGATCGTCACGATCAGCAACTACATGAAGAACACTGATCGTCACGATCAACAACCACAAGAAGAACACTGATCGTCACGAAGAACACTGATCGTCAATCAACAACCACAAGAAGAACACTGATCGTCACGATCAGCAACCACAAGAAGAACACTGATCGTCACATCAACAACCACAAGAACACTGATCGTCACGATCAACATCCACAAGAAGAACACGATCGTCACGATCAACAACCACAAGAACACTGATAGTCACGATCAAGAAGAACACTGATCGTCACGATCAACACGATAGTCACGATCAACAAATACAATAAGAACACTGATCGTCACGATCAACAACCACAAGAAGAACACTGATCGTCACGATCAACAACGCGCAAGAAGAACACTGATCGTCACGATCAAAACCAAAGAAGAACACTGATCGTCACGATCAACAACTACAAGAAGAACACTGATAGTCACGATCAGCAACCACAAGAAAACACTGATCGTCACGATCAACAACCACAAGAAGAACACTGATCGTCACGATCAACAACAGCTAAGAAGAACACTGATAGTCACAACAACCACAAGAAGAACACTGATCGTCACGATCAACAACAAGAAGAACACTGATAGTCACGATCAGCAACTACATGAAGAACACTGATCGCCACGATCAACAACCACAAGAAGAACACGATCGTCACGACCAACAACACAAGAAGAACACTGATAGTCACGATCAACAACCATAAGAAGAACACTGATCGTCACGATCAACAACTACAAGAAGAACACTGATCGTCACGATCAACAACCACAAGAAGAACACTGATCGTCACGATCAACAACCAAAGAAGAACACACTGATCAAAAAGAAGAACCAAAGAAGAACACTGATCGTCACGATCAACATCCATAAGAAGAACACTGATCGTCACGATCAACAACTACCAAGAACATTGATCGTCACGATCAACAACCACAAGAAGAACACTGATCGTCACAATCAACAACTACAAGAAGAACACTGATCGTCACGATCAACAACCACAAGAAGAACACTGATCGTCACGATCAACAACCGCAAGAAGAACACTGATAGTCACGATCAGCAACTACATGAAGAACACTGATCGTCACGATCAACAACCACAAGAAGAACACTGATCGTCACGATCAACAACTAGAACAATCGTCACGATCAAGAACAAGAAGAACGTCACGATCAACAACCACAAGAAGAACACTGATCGTCACGATCAACAACTACAAAAGAAGAACACTGATAGTCACGATCAACAACTACAAGAAATACCCTTGATCGTCACGATCCAACAACTACAAGAAGAACACTGATCGTCACGATCAACAACCGCAAGAAGAACACTGATAGTCACGATCAAACAACTGAGAAGAACACTGATCGTCACGATCCCAAAGAAGAACATTGATCGTCACGATCAACAACTAAGAAGAACACTGATCGTCACGATCAACAAATACAAGAAGAACACTGATCGTCACGATCAACAAAGAACACTGATCGTCACGATCAACAACTACAAGAAGAACACTGATCGTCACGATCAACATCCACAAGAAGAACACCGTCCAGAAGAACACTGATCGTCACGATCAACAACCACAAGAAGAACACTGATCGTCACGATCAACAACTACGCCAGAAGAACACTGATCGTCACGATCAATCCACAAAGAACACTGATCGTCACGATCAACAACTACAAGAAGAACACTGATCGTCACGATCAACATCCACAAGAAGAACACTGATCGTCACGATCAACAACTACAAGAAGAACACTGATCGTCACGATCAACAACCACAAGAAGAACAATGATCGTCACGATCAACAACTACAAGAAGAACACTTGATCGTCACGATCAACAACCACAAGAAGAACACCGATAGTCACGATCAACAACCGCAAGAACACATGAAGAACACTGATCGTCACGATCAACAACCACAAGAAGAACACTGATCGTCACGATCAACAACCGCAAAGAACACACTGATAGTCACGATCAATAAACATCCATGAAGAACACTGGATCGTCATGATCAACAACTACAAGAACACTGATCGTCACGATCAACAACCACAAGAAGAACACTGATCGTCACGATCAACAACCACAAGAAGAACACTGATCGTCACGATCAACAACCACAAGAAGAACACTGATCGTCACGATCAACAACCACAAGAAGAACACTGATCGTCACGATCAACAACCACAAGAAAAACACTGATCGTCACGATCAACAACCGCAAGAAGAACACTGATAGTCACGATCAGCAACTACATGAAGAACACTGATCGCCACGATCAACATCCACAAGAAGAACACTGATCGTCACGATCAACAACTACAAGAAGAACACTGATCGTCAACAGATCAACATCCACAAGAAGAACAACGTCACGAAGAAGAACACTGATAGTCACGATCAGCAACCACAAGAAGAACACTGATCGCCACCGATCAACAAATCACAAAGAAGAACACCGATCGTCACGACCAACAACTATAGAAGAACACTGATAGTCACGATCAGCAACTACATGAAGAACACTGATCGTCACGATCAACAACTAAGAAGAAGAACAACCAAGGGTTAGCTGATCGTCACGATCAACAACTACAAGAAGAACACCGATCGTCACGATCAACAAACCACAAGAAGAACACTGATCGTCACGATCAACAAATACATGAAGAACACTGATAGTCACGATCAACAACTACAAGAAGAACACTGATCGTCACGATCAACAACCGCAAGAAGAACACTGATAGTCACGATCAGCAACTACAAAGAACACTGATCGTCACCAACTACAAGAAGAACACTGATCGTACAAGAACACTGATCGTCACGATCAACCTACAAGAAACGAACACTGATCGTCACAATCAACAACTACAAGAAGAACACTGATCGTCACGATCAACAACCGCAAGAAGAACTCACGATCGTCAACGATCAAGAACATCGTCACGATCAACAACCACAAGAAGAACACTGATCGTCACAACCACAAGAAGAACACGTCAACAACCACAAGAAGAACACTGATCGTCACGATCAACAACCACAAGAAGAACACTGATCGTCACGATCAACAACCACAAGAAGAACACTGATCGTCACGATCAACAACTACAAAAGAACACTGTCGTCACAACAATCGAAGAACACTGATCATCCGATCAACAACCTGAAGAACACTGATCGTCACGATCAACAACCACAAGAAGAACACTGATCGTCACGATCAACAACCGCAAGAAGAACACTGATCGTCACGATCAACAACTACAAAAGAACACTGATCGTCACGATCAACAACCACAAGAAGAACACTGATCGTCACAACAAACCACAAGAAGAACACTGATCGTCACGATCAACAACTACAAGAAGAACACTGATCGTCACGATCAACAACCACAAGAAGAACGCCTGATCGTCACGATCAACATCCACAAGAAAGAACACTGATCGTCACGATCAACAACTACAAAAGAACGCTGATCGTCACGATCAACAACCCGCAAGAAGAACACTGATCGTCACGATCAACAACTACGAGAAGAACACTGATCGTCACGATCAACAACCGCACAAGAAGATCACACTACGAGAGAACACTGATCGTCACGATCAACAACCACAAGAAGAACACTGATCGTCACGATCAACAACCAAAGAAGAACGCTGATCGTCACGATCAACAACAAGAAGAAAAACACTGATCGTCACGATCAACAACTACAAGAGAACACTGATCGTCACGATCCAACAACCACGTCGTCACGATCAACAACCACAAGAAGAACACTGATAGTCACGATCAACAACCTACAAGAAGAACACTGATCGTCACGATCAACAACTACAAGAAGAACACTGATCGTCACGATCAACAACCGCAAGAAGAACACTGATCGTCACGATCAAGCAACTACAAGAACACTGATCGTCACGATCAACAACCACAAAGAAGAACACTGATCGTCACGATCAACAACCACAAGAAGAACACTGATCGTCACGATCAACAACCACAAGAAGAACACTGATCGTCACGATCAACAACCACAAGAAGAACACTGATCGTCACGATCAACAACCACAAGAAGAACACTGATCGTCACGATCAACAACCACAAGAAGAACGCCTGATCGTCACGATCAACAACCGCAAGAAGAACACTGATCGTCACGATCAACATCCACAAGAACACTTGATCGTCACGATCAACAACTACAAGAAGAACGCTGATCGTCACGATCAACAACCCACAAGAACACTGATCGTCACGATCAACAACCACAAGAAGAACACTGATCGTCACGATCAACAACTACACAAGAACACTGATCGTCACGATCAACAACCACAAAAGAACACTGATCGTCACGATCAACAACCGCAAGAAGAACACTGATCGTCACGATCAACATCCACGAAGAACACTGATCGTCACGATCAACAACCACAAAGAAGAACACTGATCGTCGACCAATCAACCACAAGAAGAACACTGATCGTCACGATCAACAACCGAACACTGATCGTCAAAGAACAACTACAAGAAGAACACTGATCACGATCAACAATCACAAGAAGAACCCTGATCGTCACGATCAACAACCACAAGAAGAACACTGATCGTCACGACCAACAACCGTCAAGAAGAACACTGATCGTCAGAAACATCCATAAGAAGAACACTGATCGTCACGATCAACAACCACAAGAAGAACACTGATCGTCACGATCAACAACCACAAGAAGAACACTGATCGTCACGATCAACAACCACAAGAAGAACACTGATCGTCACGATCAGCAACCACATGAAGAACACTGATCGTCACGATCAACAACCACAAGAAGAACACTGATCGTCACGATCAACATCCGCAAGAAGAACACTGAACACCACTGATCGTCACGATCAACAACTACAAGAAGAACACTGATCGTCACGATCAACAACTCACAAAGAAGAACACTGATCGTCACGATCAACAACCACAAGAAGAAGACTGATCGTCACGACCAACAACCACAAGAAGAACACTGATCGTCACGATCAACAACCGCAAGAAGAACACTGATCGTCACGATCAACAACTACAAGAAGAACGCGGTCATCACGATCAACATCCACAAAGAAAAACACTGATCGTCACGATCAACAACTACAAGAAGAACACTGATCGTCACGATCAACAACCACAAGAAGAACACTGATCGTCACGATAAACAACCGCAAGAAGAACACTGATCGTCACGATCAGCAACTATGAAGAAGAACACTGATCGTCCGATCAACAACCACAAGAAGAACACCGATCGTCACGATCAACCACTACAAGAAGAACACTGATCGTCACGATCAACAACTACAAAGAAGAACACTGATCGTCACGATCAACAACTACCAGAAGAACACTGATCGTCACGATCAACAAATCAAGAAGAACACTGATCGTCACGATCAACAACCACAAGAAGAACACTGATCGTCACGATCAACAACCACAAGAAGAACACTGATCGTCACGATCCACAAGAACAATCGTCACAATCACAAAAAAGAACACTGATCGTCACGATCAACAACCAAAAGAAAAACTGATCGTCACGATCAACAACCGCAAGAAAGAACACTGATCGTCACGATCAACAACTACAAGAAGAACACTGATCGTCACGATCAACAACCACAAGAAGAACACACTGATCGTCACGATCAACAACTACAAAGAAGAACACTGATCGTCACGATCAACAACCACAAGAAGAACACTGATCGTCACGATCAACAACCGCAAAGAAGAACACTGATAGTCACGATCAGCAACTACATGAAGAACACTGATCGCTACGATCAACAACCACCAAGAAAAACACTGATCGTCGACCAACAACCGCAAGAAGAACACTGATAGTCACGATCAGCAACTACATGAAAAACACTGATCGTCACGATCAATAACCACAAAGAAGAACACTGATCTCACGATCAACAACTACGCCAGAAGAACACTGATCGTCACGATCAACAACCACAAAGAAGAACACTCACGATCAGTCACGATCAACGCAACTCAACACGAAAACAACCTGATCGTCACGATCAAAACACTGATCGTCACGATCAACAACTACAAGAAGAACACTGATCGTCACGATCAACAACCACAAGAAGAACACTGATCGTCACGATCAACATCCACAAGAAGAACACTGATCGTCACGATCAACATCTACAAGAAGAACACTGATCGTCACGATCAACAATCACAAGAAGAACACTGATCGTCACGATCAACAACCACAAGAAGAACGCAGTACGATCAACAACACTGAACACGATCGTCAAGAACGATCAACAACCGCAAGAAGAACACTGATCGTCGATCCAACAACCGCAAGAAGAACACTGATCGTCATACGATCAGCAACCACAGAAGAACACTGATCGTCACGATCAACAACCACAAGAAGAACATCTCACGATCAACATCTACATGAAGAACACTGATCCCTCACGATCAATCCAACCACAAAGAACAACACTGATGGTCACGACCAACAACCGCATGAAGAACACTGATATTCGTCACGATCAACAACTACAAGAACACTGATAGTCACAATCAACCTACAAGAAGAACACTGATCGTCACGATCAACAACTACAAAGAAGAACACTGATCGTCGATCAAGCAACCACAAGAAGAACACTGATCGTCACGATCAACAACCACAAGAAGAACACTGATCGTCACGATCAACATCCACAAGAAGAACACTGATCGTCGCGATCAAAACTACAAAGAAAAACACTGATCGTCATACGATCAACAACCTAAGAAGAACACTGATAGTCACGATCAGCAACTACGCAGAAAGAACACTGATCGCCACGATCAACATCCAAGAAGAACACTGATCGTCGACCAACAACCAAAGAACACTGATCACGATCAAGCAACACTGATCGTCACGATCAACAACCACAAGAAAGAACACTGATCGTCACGATCAACAACCACAAGAAGAACTTGCTGATCATCACGATCAACAACTACATGAAGAACACTGATCATGCGATCAACAACCACAAGAAGAACGCAGTCGTCACGATCAACAACCGCAAGAAGAACGCGATAGTCGATCAACAACCTGAAAAACGGTCGTCACGATCAACAACCGCAAGAAGAACACTGATAGTCACGATCCCAGCAACTACATGAAGAACACTGATCGTCACGATCAACAACCACAAAAAAGAACGCAGTCGTCACGATCAGCAACCGCAAGAAGAACTGATCGTCACGATCAACAACTACAGAAGAACACTGATCGTCACGATCAACAACCGCAAGAAGAACACTGATCACGATCCAACATCCACAAGAAGAACACTGATCGTCAATCAAAAGCAACCACAAGAAAAACACTGATCGTCGATCAACAACCGCAAGAAGAACACTTGGTCACGATCAGCACCTACGCGAAGAACACTGATCGTCACGATCATCCACAAGAAGAACACTACAAGAAGAACACAAGAAATGGTCACGATCAACTACGCCAGAAGAACACTGATCATCACGATCAACAACCACAAGAAGAACACTGATCGTCGACCAACAACCGCAAAGAAGAACACTGATAGTCCACGATCAAGCAACCACATGAAGAACACTGATCGTCGATCAACAACTGCAGAAGAACACTGATGTCACGATCAGCAACTAAATGAAGAACACTGATCGTCACGATCAACAACTACAAGAAGAACACCGATCGTCACGATCAACAAATCACATGAAGAACACTGGACGTCACGATCAACAAACCACAAGAAGAACACGATCGTCACGACCAACAACCGCAAGAATATCGATAGTCACGATCAAACTACATGAAGAACACGGACGGTCACGATCAAATAACTACAAGAAGAACACTGACGTCACGATCAACAACCAGAATACTGATCGTCGATCAACAACTACAAGAACACTGGACGCCGATCAACAACTACAAGAAACAAGAACACTGATCGTCACGATCAACAACCACAAAGAACACTGATCGTCACGATCAACAACCGCAAAGAACACTGATCGTCACGATCAACACAACCACGAAGAATCAACATCAACTGATCGTCACGATCAACAACTACAAAGAACACTGATCGTCACTGATAGTCACAATCAACAACTACGAAGAACACTGATCGTCACGATCAACAACCACAAGAAGAACACTGATCGTCACGATCAACAACCTGAAGAACAACTGATCGTCACGATCAACAACTACAAGAAGAACACTGATCGTCACGATCAACATCCACAAGAAGAACACTGATCGTCACGAACAACTACAAGAAGAACACTGATCGTCACGATCAACAAACCACAAGAAGAACACTGATCGTCACGATCAACAACCGCAAGAAGAACACTGATCGTCACGATCAACAACCACATGAAGAACACTGATCGTCACGATCAACAACCACAAGAAGAACACTGATCGTCACGATCAACAACCGCAAGATAGTCACGAACAGCTACAAGATAGTGATCGTCACGATCAACAACTACAAAGAACCGTCACGATCAACAACCACAAGAAGAACACTGATCGTCACGATCCACAAACCACAAGAAGAACACTGATCGTCACGATCAACAACCACAAGAAGAACACTGATCGTCACGATCAACATCCACAAGAAGAACGAAGACACGATCGATCGCCGATCAACTACAAGAAGAACACTGATCGTCGACAACAACCCGCAAGAAATGGTCACGATCAACTACGCAGAAATAACACTGATCGTCACGATCAACAACCACAAGTCAAATCAACACTGATCGTCGTCGATCAACAACCACAAGAAGAACACTGATCGTCACGATCAACAACCACAAGAAGAACACTAATCGTCACGATCAACAACCGCAAGAAGAACACTGATCGTCACGATCAGCAACCACAAGAAGAACACTGATCGTCACGATCAACAACCACAAGAAGAACGCTGTCGTCACGATCAACAACCACAAGAAGAACACTGATGGTCACGATCATAGTCGATCCAGCAACTACAAGAAGAACACTGATCGTCACGATCAACAACTAAGAAGAACACTGACGATAACGATCAACAACCACAAAGAAGAACACTGATCGTCACGATCAACAACTACAAAGAACACTGATCGTCACGATCAACAACCACAAAGAAGAACACGTCACGATCAACCCACAAGAAGAACACTGATCGTCACGATCAACAACCACAAGAAGAACACTGATCGTCGATCAACAACCACAAGAAAGAACACTGATCGTCACGATCAACAACCGCAAGAAGAACACTGATCGTCACGATCAACAACCACAAGAAGAACGCATCGCCACGACCAACAACCACAAAACTGAAGTCAATCACTGATCGTCACGATCAACAACTACAAGAAGAACGCACTGATCGTCACGATCAACAACTACAAAGAGAACACTGATCGTCACGATCAACAACCACAAGAAGAACACTGATCGTCACGATCAACAACCACAAAGAAACAACTGATCGTCGTCGACCAACAACCACAAAAGAACACTGATCGTCGATCAACAACCACAAGAAGAACACTGATCGTCACGATCAACAACCACAAGAAGAACACTGATCGTCACGATCAACAACTCCAAGAAGAACACTGATCGTCACGATCCAACAACTACAAAGAACACTGATCTACGATCAACAACTACAAGAAGAACACTGATCGTCACGATCAACAACCGCAAGAAGAACACTGATCGTCACGATCAACAACTACATGAAGAACACTACAAAGTCGTCACGATCAACATCCACAAAGAACGTCACTGATAGTCACGATCAACAACCACAAGAAGAACACTGATCGTCACGATCAACAACCACAAGAAAAACACTGATCGTCACGATCAACAACCGCAAGAAGAACACTGATCGTCACGATCAACAACTGCAAGAAGAACACTGATCGTCACGATCAACAACCACAAGAAAGAACACTGATCGTCTACGATCAACAACCGCAAGAAGAACACAACACAAGAACACTGATAGTCACGATCAACAACTACAAGAAGAACACTGATCAACAACCGTCATCGTCACGATCACAACTACATGAAGAACACTGATCGTCACGATCAACAATCACAAGAAGAACCTGATCGTCACGATCAACAACTACAAGAAGAACACTGATCGTCAGATCACAACTACAAGAAGAACACTGATCGTCACGATCAACAACCACAAGAAGAACACTGATCGTCACGATCAACAACTACAAGAAGAACACTGATCGTCACGATCAACAACCACAAGAAGAACACTGATCGTCACGATCAACAACCGCAAGAAGAACACTGATAGTCACGATCAGCAACTACATGAAGAACACTGATCGCCACGATCAACAACCACAAGAAGAACACTGATCGTCACGACCAACAACCGCAAGAAGAACACTGATAGTCACGATCAGCAACTACATGAAGAACACTGATCGTCACGATCAACAACTACAAGAAGAACACTGATATAGTCTGACAGATCAACAATCCCGCAAGAAGAACACTGATCGTCACGATCAACAACTACAAAGAAGAACACTGATCGTCACGATCAACAACATGAAGAAGAACACTGATCGTCACGATCAACAACTACAAGAAGAACACTGATCGTCACGATCAACATCCACAAGAAGAACACTGATCGTCACGATCAACAACCGAACAAGAGATCAGAACTACAAGAAGAACACTGATCACGATCAACAACCACCATCACACTGATCAACCAACAACCGCAGAAGAACACTGATAGTCACGATCAAAGAACAATTGTCACGATCACAACGAAAGAAAACACTGATAGTCACGATCAACTAACTACAAGAAGAACACTGATCGTCACGACCAACAACCGCAAGAAGAACACTGATCGTCACGATCAACAGCTACAAGAACACTGAACGATCAACAACCACAAGAAGAACACTGATCGTCACGATCAACAACTACAAGAAGAACACTGATCGTCACGATCAACAACCACAAGAAGAACACTGATCGTCACGATCAACAACCACAAGAAGAACACTGATCGTCACGATCAACAACCACAAAGAAGAACACTGATCGTCACGATCAACAACTACAAGAAGAACACTGATCGTCACAATCAACAACCACAAGAAGAACACTGATCGTCACGATCAACAACCAAGAAGAACAAGAAGAACACTGATCGTCACGATCAACAACTACACTGATCGTCACGATCAACAATCACAAGAAGAACGCTGATCGTCACGATCAACAACCAAGAACACTGATTGTCGATCAAGAACAACTGATCAACAACTACAAGAAGAACACTGATCGTCACGATCAACAACTACAAAGAAGAACGATCGTCGCGAATCAACAACCAAGTCACGATCAACGATCAACCCACAAAAGATCACACTGATCGTCACGATCAACAACCACAAGAAGAACACTGATCGTCACGATCAGCATCCACAAGAAGAACACCGATCGTCACGATCAACAACCACAAGAAGAACGCAGTCACGATCAACAACCACAAGAAGAAGAACAACTGAAGAACACTGATAGTCACGATCAACAACTACAAGAACACTGATCGTCACGATCAACAACCACAAGAAGAACTTCACGATCAACAACAAGAAGAACACTGATCGTCACGATCAACAACCACAAGAAGAACACTGATCGTCACGATCAACAACCGCAAGAAGAACACTGATCGTCACGATCAACAACCACAAGAAGAACACTGATCGTCACGACAAACAACCACAAGAAGAACACTGATCGTCACGATCAACAACCACTGATCGTCACACTGATCAACAACCACAAGAAGAACACTGATCGTCACGATCAACAACCACTGATAGTCCACGAAGAAGAACACTGATCGTCACGATCAACATCCACAAGAAGAACACTGATCGTCACGATCAACAACCACAAGAAGAACACTGAACGATCAACAACCACAAGTCACTGATCGTCATCAACAACCACAAGAAGAACACTGATCGTCGATCAATCAACTACACAAGAACACTGATCGTCACGATCAACAACCACAAGAAGAACACTGATCGTCACGATCAACAACCGCAAGAAGGAACGATGATAGTCACGATCAAACAACAGAGAACGCTGATCGCCACGATCAACAACCACAAGAAGAACAATTGATCGTCACGATCAACAACTAAGAAGAACACTGATCGTCACGATCAGCAACCACAAAGAACACTGATCGTCACGATCAACAACTACAAGAAGAACACTGATCGTCACGATCAACAACACAAAAGAACACTGATCGTCACGATCAACAACTACAAGAAGAACGCAGTCGTCACGACCAACGATCAAGAAGAACACTGATCGTCACGATCAGCAAATATGAGAAGAACACTGATCGTCACGATCAACAACTACAAGAACACTGATCGTCACGATCAACAACTACATGAAGAAGAACACTGATCGTCATGATCAATCAACCACAAAGAAGAACACTAATCGTCACGATCAACATCCACAAGAAGAACACTGATCGTCACGATCAACAACACAAGAAGAACACTGATCGTCACGATCAACATCCATCGTCAAAATCAAGAACACCGATCGTCACGATCAACAACCAAGAAGAACACTGATCGTCACGATCAACAACCACAAGAAGAACACTGATCGTCACGATCAACAACTACAAGAACACTGATCGTCACAATCAACAACTACAAGAAGAAAGGTCACGATCAACTGATCGTCACGATCAACAACCTAAGAAAGAACACTGATCGTCACGATCAACAACTACAAGAAACTGATCGTCACGATCAACAACCACAAGAAGAACACTGATCGTCACGATCAACAACTACAAGAAGAACACTGATCGTCACGATCAAACAACCACAAGAACAACTGATCGTCACGATCAACAACCGCACGAAAGAACATTGATCGTCACGATCAACCACTACGCGAAGAACACTGATCGTCACAATCAACAACTACAAGAAGAACACTGATCGTCATGAACAACCATCAAGAAGAACACTGATCGTCACGATCAACAAACTAAGAAGAACGATCGTCACGATCAACATCCAAGAGAACACTGATCGTCACGATCAACAACCACATGAAGAACGCATCGTCACGATCAACATCCACAAGAAGAACACTGATCGTCACGATCAACAAACCACAAGAAGAACACTGATCGTCACGATCAACAAATAAATAGAACGCACACTTCACGTCACCAACAACCGCAAAAGAACACTGATCGTCCACGATCAACAACCGCAAAGAAGAACACTGATCGTCACGATCAACCACAAGAAGAACACTGATCGTCACGATCAACATCCGCAAGAACACTGATCGTCACGATCAAGAACTACATGATCAACAACCGAACGAACACCAACAACCGTGATAGTCCCGATCCAACAACTACAACACTGATCGTCACGATCAACAACCACAAGAAGAACACTGATCGTCGATCAACAAATACAAGAAGAACACTGATCGTCACGATCAACAACCACAAGAAGAACCCTGATCGTCACGATCAACAACAACCTGATCGTCACGAGAACACTGATTGTCACGATCAACAACTACAAGAAGAACACTGATCGTCACGATCAACAACAAGAAGAACATATCGTCACGAAACCACTACGAGAAGAACACTGATCGTCACGATCAACAAATCACAAGAAGAACACTGATCGTCACGATCAACATCCGCAAGAAGAACACTGATATCGTCACGATCAACAACTACAAAGAACACATCGTCATGATCAACATCCACAAGAAGAACACTGATCGTCACGATCAACAACTACAAGAAGAAACACTCACGATCGTCACGATCACTGACAGTCACAACAAATCTGAAGAACACTGATCGTCACAATCAACAACTACAAGAAGAACACTGATCGTCACGATCAACAACCACAAGAAGAACACTGACCGTCACGATCAACATCCAAGAAGAACACTGATCGTCACGATCAACATCCACAAGAAAGAACACTGATCGTCACGATCAACAACTACAAGAAGAACACTGATCGTCACGATCAACAACCGCAAGAAGAACACTGACGTCACGATCAGCAACCGCAAGAAGAAATACCGAGGTCACGCCGATCAGCAACTACATGACGTCACGATCAACAACCACAAGAAGAACACTGATCGTCACGACCAACAACCGTGAAGAAGAACACTGATCGTCACGATCAGCAAATTACTGATGAAGAACACTGATTGTCACGATCAACAACCACAAGAAGAACACTGATCGTCACGATCAACAACTACAAGAAGAACACTGATCGTCACGATCAACAACCACAAGAAGAACACTGATCGTCACGATCAAACAATGAAGAACACTGATCGTAATCCAACAACAACAAGAAGAACACTGATCGTCACGACAACCGCAAAGAACACTGATCGTCACGATCAACAACCACAAGAAGAACACTGATCGTCACGATCAACAACGTCACGATCAACAACCTCAAAGAACACTGATCGTCACGATCAACAACCACAAGAAGAACACTGATCGTCACGATCAACAACCACAAGAAGAACACTGATCGTCACGATCAACAACCACGACAAGAACCGCAAGAAGAATAATTGATCGTCAACGATCAACAATCCACAAGAAGAACACTGATCGTCACGATCAACAACCGCAAGAACACTGATCGTCACAATCAACAACCACAAGAAGAACACTGATCGTCACGATCAACAACTACAAGAAGAACACTGATCGTCACGATCAACAACCACAAGAAGAAACACTGATCGTCACGATCAACAACCGCAAGAAGAACACTGATAGTCACGATCAACAACTACATGAAGAACACTGATCGTCACGATCAACAACCACAGAAAGAACACTGATCGTCACGATCAACAACCACCAAGAAGTACACTGATCGTCATGACCAACAACCGCAAGAAGAACACTGATCGTCACGATCAGCAACCCGAAAGAACACTGATCGTCACGATCAACAACCACAAGAAGAACACTGATCGTCACGATCAACAACTAAGAAGAACACTGATCATCACGATCAACAATCAAGAAGAACACTGATCGTCACGATCAACAACCAAGAAAAAGAACACTGATCGTCACGATCAACAACCACAAGAGAACACTGATCGTCAACATCCAAAAGAACGATCCAAAGAAGAACACTGATCGTCACGATCAACATCCACAAGAAGAACACTGATCGCCACGATCAACAACCACAAGAAGAACACTGATCGTCACGACCAACAACCGCAAGAAGAACACTGATAGTCACGATCAGCAACTACATGAAGAACACTGATCGTCACGATCAACAACTACAAGAAGAACACTGATCGTCACGATCAACAACCACAAGAAGAACACTGATCGTCACGATCAACAACTACAAGAAGAACACTGATCGTCACGATCAACAACCACAAGAAGAACACTGATCGTCACGATCAGCAACTACAGAAGAACACTGATCGTCACGATCAACAACCACAAGAAGAACACTGAGCGTCACGATCAACAACCGCAGAAGAACACTGATCGATCAACAACCTCAAGAACACTGATCGTCACGATCAACAACCACAAGAAGAACACTGATCGTCACGATCAACAACCACAAGAAGAACACTGATCGTCACGATCAACAACCACAAGAAGAACACTGATCGTCACGATCAACATCCACAAGAAGAACACTGATCGTCACGATCAACAACTACATGAAGAACACTGATTGTCACGATCAACAACCACAAGAAAGAACACTGATCGTCACGATCAACAACTACAAGAAGAACACTGATCGTCACGATCAACAACCACAAGAACACTGACGTCACAATCCAACAAACTGAAAGAACACTGATCGTCAAAATCAACAACTAAGAACACTGATCGTCAAACCAACACAAAGAGAACAATTGATCGTCACGATCAACATCCACAAAGAAGAAACAAAGACTGATCGTCACAATCAACAACTAAGAAGAACACTGATCGTCATAGATCAACAACTACAAGAAGAACACTGATCGTCACGATCAACAAACAACAGTTAAAACAACTACAAACGGTCGTCACGATCAACAATCACAAGAAGAACACTGATCGTCACGATCAACAACCACAAGAAGAACACTGATCAGTCACGACAACAATCCTGAAAGAACCCTGAATAATTAAACAACACGACCTGTCATGCGATCAACAACTACAGAACGATCGTCGACACCACTACGAAGAACAGTCGTCACAATCAACAACTACAAGAAGAACACTGATATCACGATCCAGCAAACTACGAGAAGAACACTGATCGTCACGATCAACAACCACAAGAAGAACACTGATCGTCACGATCAACAAATTCACAAGAAAGAACACTGATCGTCACGATCAACAACAAGAAGAACACTGATCGTCACGATCAACAACTACAAGAAGAACACTGATCGTCACGATCAACAACCGCAAAGAAACACTGATCACGATCAGTCATGAAGAACACTGATCGTCACGATCAACAACCACAAGAAGAACACTGATCGTCACGATCAACAACCACAAGAAGAACAACACGATCAACAACTACAAGAAGAACACTGATCGTCACGATCAACAACTACAAGAAGAACACTGATCGTCACGATCAACAACCGTAAGAAGAACACTGATCGTCACGATCAACAACCACAAGAAGAAACACTGATCGTCACGATCAACAACCACAAGAAGAACACTGATCGTCACGATCAAACAACCACAAGAAGAACACTGATCGTCACGATCAACAACCACAAGAAGAACACTGATCGTCACGATCAACAACCACAAGAAGAACACTGATCGTCACGATCAACAACCACAAGAAGAACACTGATCGTCACGATCAACAATCCTGAAGAACCTAATTGTCACGTAAACAACTTCTAAGAAGACTGATTGTCACGATCAGCAACTACCAAGACATTGATCGTCACGATCAGCCACTACGAGAAGAACGCTGATCGTCAACAACCAAGAAGAACACTGATCGTCGCGTTCAACAACCACAAGAAGAACACTGATCGTCATGATCAACAACAAGAAGAACACTGATCGTCACGAAGAAGGACACTGATCGTCACGATCAACAACTACGCGTACACTGGTGTCACGATCAACAACCACAGAAGAACGTCACGATCAACAAATCACAAGAAGAACACTGATCGTCATGATCAACAACCACAAGAACAACACTAGATCGTCACGATCAACAAACCACAAGAAGAATCGTCATATCGTACAAGAACAACGTCATCAACATCCACAAGAAGAACACTGATCGTCACGATCAACAACAAAGAACACTGATCGTCAATCCAAGAACACTGATCGTCAACAATCAACAACCACAAAAGAACACTGATCGTCGACCAACAACTAAGAAGAACACTGATCGTCACAATCAACCGCAAGAAGAACACTGATCGTCACAATCCAACAACTCAACCTTCGTCACGATCGGCAACTACAAGAACACACCAGTTGTCGATCCGTAACAACAAAGAAGTACACATCGTCACCAACAACTACTAGAAACTGATCGTCCGATCAACAACCACAAGAAGAACACTGATCGTCACGATCAACAATCACAAAGAAGAACCTGATTGTCACGATCAACAACTACAAGAAGAACACTGATCGTCACGATCAACAACCTCAAGAACAACGTCACGATCAACAACTAGCAAGAACACTGATCGTCACGATCAACAACTACAAGAAGAACACTGATCGTCACGATCAACAACCACAAGAAGAACACCGATCGTCGATCAACAACCACATGAAGAACACTGATCGTCACGATCAACAACATCCACAAGAAGAACACTGATCGTCACAATCAACAACTACAAGAACCACACAGTCGAACAACATCCACAAAATCGTCACGATCAACAACTACAAGAAGAACACTGATCGTCACGATCAACATCCACAACAACTTACAAGAAGAACACTGATCGTCACGATCAACAACCACAAGAAGAACACTGATCGTCACGACCAACAACCACAAGAAGAACACTGATCGTGCGTCAACAACTACAAGAAGAATCCACAATCAACATCCACACGAAGAACACTGATCGTCACGATCAACAACTACAAGAAGAACACTGATCGTCACGATCAACAACCACAAGAAGAACACTGATCGTCACGACCAACAACGATCGCAAGAAAGAACACTGATCGTCACGATCAACAACTACAAGAAGAACGCAGATCGTCACGATCAACAATTCACAAGAAAGAACACTGATTGTCACGATCAAATCAAGAAGAACACTGATTGTCACGACCAACAACTACAAGAAGAACGAATAGTCCCGATCAGCAACTCAACCACTACGAAGAACACTCGATCAACAACTACAAGAAGAACAATCGTCGCGAATCAACCACTAAGAAGAACACTGATCGTCACGACCAACAACCACAAGAAGAACACTGATCGTCACGATCAACATCCACAAGAAGAAATAATCGATCGTCACGATCAACAACTACAAGAACACTGATCGTCACGATCAACATCCACAAGAGAAGAACACTGATTGTCACGATCAACAACTACATGAAGAACACTGATTGTCACGATCAACAACTACAAGAACATTGATCGTCACGATCAACCACTACGAGAAGAACACTGATCGTCACAATCAACAACTACAAGAAGAACACTGATCGTCATGATCAACAACTACGAGAAGAACACTGATCGTCACGATCAACAACCTAAGAAGAACACTGATCGTCACGATCAACATCCACAAGAAGAAATACACAACATCGTCACGATCAACAACTTCATGAAGAACACTGATCGTCACGATCAACAACCACAAGAAGAACACTGAGCGTCACGATCAACAACCAAGAAGAACACTGAAGAACACCGATAGTCACGATCAACAACCACAAGAAGAACACTGATCGTCACGATCAACAACTACAAGAAGAACACTGATAGTCGATCAGCAACTACAAGAACACTGATCGTCACGATCCAAAGAAGAAGAACACTGATCGCCACGATCAACAACCACAAGAAGAACACTGATCGTCACGATCAACAACCCAAGAAGACTGATTGTCACGATCAACAACTAAGAAGAACACTGATCGTCACGATCAACAACCGCAAGAAGAACACTGATCGTCACGACCAACAACCACAAGAAGAACACTAGGCGTCACGATCAACAACCACATGAAGAACACTGATCGTCACGATCAACAACCTAAGAAGAACACTGATCGTCACGATCAACAACCACAAGAAGAACACTGATCGTCACGATCAACAACCGCAAGAAGAACACTGATCGTCACGATCAACGCAACCACAAGAAGAACACTGATCGTCGACCAACAACCACAAGAAGAACACTGATCGTCACGATCAACAACCACAAGAAGAACACTGATCGTCACGATCAACAACCACAAGAAGAACACTGATCGTCACGATCAACAACTAACCGCAAGAAGAACACTGATCGTCACGATCAACAACCACAAGAAGAACACTGATCGTCACGATCAACAACCGCAAGAAGAACACTGATCGTCACGATCAGCAACTACATGAAGAACCCTGATCGTCACGATCAACAACCACAAGAAAACACTGATCGTCACGATCAACAACCGCAAGAAGAACATGATAGTCACGATCAGCAACTACATGAAGAACACTGATCGTCACGATCAACAACCACAAAGAAGAACACTGATCGTCACGATCAACAACTACAAGAAGAACACTGATCGTCACGATCAACAACCACAAGAAGAACATGATCGTCACGATCGTCACGATCAACAACCACAAGAAGAACACACTCAAAGAACTCGTCACGACTCATCGTCACACTGATCAACAACCACAAGAAGAACACTGATCGTCACGACAACAACCGCAAGAATTACACTGATAGTCACGATCAGCACCACATGAAGAACACCACCGCCACGATCAACAACCACAAGAAGAACACCGATCACGACCAACAAATCAGTAAAGAAGAACACTGACAGTCACGATCAGCAAATTCAAGATGAAGAACACTAACGTCACGATCAACAACTACAAGAAGAACACGATCGTCACGATCAACAATCACAAGAAGAACACTGATCGTCACGACTAACAAATCACAAGAAGAACACTGATCGTCACGATCAACAACGCAAGAAGAAATACCGACGTCACGATCAACATCCACAAGAAGAACACTGATCGTCGCCGATCAACAACCACAAGAAGAATTGATCGCTACGATCAACAAACTACAAGAAAACATTGATCGTCACGATCAACAAATCTAAGAAGAACACTTACAGTCACGATCAGCACCACATGAAGAACACTGACGCTGGGCCGATCAACAACCACAAGAAGAAATAATTGATCGTCACGATCAACAACTATAAGAAGAACACTGATCGTCACGATCAACAAATCTAAGAAATTAATCGTCACGATCAACAACTACAAGAACACTGATAGTCACGATCAAAAATCATAAGAAGAACACTGATCGTCACGATCAACAACCACAAGAAGAACACCACCGTCACGATCAAATAACCGCAAGAAGAATACTGATAGTCACGATCAGCAAATTCAGAAGAAATAATTGACGTCACGATCAACAACCAAGAAGAACACTGATCGTCACGATCAACAAATTACAAGAAGAAATACTTGATCGTACGATCAACAACTACAAGAACACTGATCGTAAATAACAACAAATAAGAAGAACACTGATCGTCAAAATCAATAACTTCAAGAACACTGATCGTCAAGGATCAACAACCACAGGAAGTTAGAAATAATTGATCGTCACGACCAATAACTATAAGAGCGAACACTGGATCGTCACGATCAACAACTATGCGAACACTGATCGTCACAATCAACAATCTTCCACGAAGAACACTGATCGTCATTGATCAACAACTATAAGAAGAACACTGATCGTCACGGATCAACAACTAAGAAGAACGCACTGATTGGTCACGATCAACAACTACAGAAACTGATCGTCATGATCAACAATCCTAACAAGAATACTGATCGTCACGATCAACAACCTAAGAAGAACACTGATCGTCACGATCAACAATCACAAGAAGAACCCTGATTGTCACGATAAACAACTACAAGAACACTGATTGTCACGATCAACAACTACAAGAACATTGATCGTCACGATCAACCACTACGCGAAGAACACTGATCGTCACAATCAACAACCACAAGAAGTACACTTGGATTGTCGCGATCAACAACTATTAAAGAACAACAATCAACCAACTACAAGAAGAACACTGATCGTCACGATCGTCAACAACATCCACAAGAAGAATAATTGATCGTCACGATCAACATCCACAAGAACACTGATCGTCACAATAAATTGATCGTCAAAATCAACAACTTCAAGATGATCGTCACGATTAACATCTACAGAAGAACACTGATCGTCACGATCAACAACCATAAGAAGAACACTGATCGTCACGATCAACAACTACAAGAACAACGCAGTCGTCTAACCAACAACGAAGAAGAACATTGAAGAACACTGATCGTCACAATCAACAACTACAAAGAAGAATATCAACAACTGAAACTCGTCAAGGATCAACAATCACTACGTCACGAAGAAGAACACGATCGTCACGATCAACAACCACAAGAAGAACACCGATTGTCAGAAAACAACTACGAGAACACTGATCGTCACGATCAACAACTACGTCACGAAACAACTACAAGAACACTGATCGTCACGATCAACATCGTCATCACAAGAAAGAACACTGATCGTCACGATCAACAACCACAAGAAGAACACTGATCGTCACGATCAACAACCACAAGAAAGAACACTGATCGTCACGATCAACAAATAAGTCCTGATCGTCACGATCAACATCTACAAGAAGAACACTGATCGTCACGATCAACAACGTCACGAAGAACAACTACAAGAACACTGATCGTCACGACCAACAACCACAAGAAGAAGAACACAGATAGTCACGATCAACAACTATAGAAGAACACTGATCGTCACGATCAACAACTACAAGAAGAACACTTGATCGTCACGATCAACAATCACAAGAAGAACCTGATTGTCACGATCAACATCAACTAGAAGAACACTGATTATCACGATCAACAACTACAAGAAGAACACTGATCGTCACGATCAATAAATTGTTAAGAAGAACACTGATCGTCACGATCCACGATCACAACTACATGAAAGAACACTGATCGTCACGATCAACAACCACAAGAAGAACACTGATCGTCATGATCAACCACTCAGCAACTAAGAGAAGAACACTGATCGTCACGATCAACAACCAACATTGATCGTCACCGATCAACATCCACAAGAAGAACACTGATCGTCACGATCAACAACATACAAGAAGAACACTGATCGTCACGATCAACAACTACGCGAAGAACACTGATCGTCACGATCAACAACCACAAGAAGAAATCACTGATCGTCACAATCAACAACTACAATCAACATCATAATAGAAGAACACTGATCGTCACGATCAACAACTACATGAAGAACACTGATCGTCACGATCAACAACCACAAGAAGAACACTGATCGTCACGATCAACAACTACAAGAAGAACACTGATCGTCACGATCAACAACCGCAAGAAGAACACTGATCGTCACGATCAACAAATCTGCAGAAGAACACTGATCGTCACGATCAACAACCACAAGAAGAACACTGATCGTCGCCACGACCAACAACCTGAAGAACACTGATGGTCACGATCAACAACTATAGTCAAAGAACACTGATCGTCACGATCAACAAAAGAAGAAGAACACTGATCGTCACGATCAACAACCACAAGAAGAACACTGATCGTCACGACCAACAACCACAAGAAGAACACTGATCGTCACGATCAACAACCACAAGAAGAACAGTGATCGTCACGACCAACAATCACATAAGAAGAACCCTTGATCGTCACGATCAACAACTTCGCAGAACTGAGAACACTGATCGTCACTGATCAACATCCACAAGAAGAACACTGAGCGTCACATCAACAAAGAACACTGATCGTCAATCAACCAATGCAGAAGAACACTGATCGTCACGATCAACAACCACAAGAAGATCGTCACTTGATTCAAGATCGTCACGATCAACAACTACAAGAAGAACACTGATAGTCACGATCAGCAACTACATGAAGAACACTGATCGCCACGATCAACAACCACAAGAAGAACACTGATCGTCACGACCAACAACCGCAAGAAGAACACTGATAGTCACGATCAGCATCCACATGAAGAACACTTGATCGTCACGATCACAACTATAAGAAGAAATTGATCGTCACGATCAACAACTATAAGAAGAAATAATTGATCGTCACGATCACCAACAACCATAAGAAGAACACTGATCGTCACGATCAACAACCAATAAGAAGAATAATCGATCGTCACGATCAACATCCACAGAAGAAATAATTGATCGTCACGATCAACAAACTTGACAAGAAGAACTCTGATCGTCACGATCAACAACCACAAGAAGAACACTGATCATCAACATCAAATCATTAAGTTAACACTGACGTCACGATCAAATCAAGAAGAAACGTCACGATCAACAACTACAAGAACACTGATCGTCACGATCAACAACTGGTTAAGAAGAACAATTGATCGTCACGATCAACAACCACAAGAAGAACACTGATCGTCACGATCAACAACCACAAGAAGAACACTGATCGTCACGATCAACAAATCACAAGAAGAACAATTGATCGTCACAATCAACAAACTACAAGAACAACACTGAACGAAGAATATCTGATAGTCACGGACAACTACAAGAACACTGATCAGCAATCAACAACAAATAAGAAGAACACGTCAAAATGGATAACTAAGAACACGATCAACAACCATACAGGAAGAACGATCGTCACGACCAACAACTGCTAAGAAAGAACACTGATCGTCACGATCAACAACTACAGAAAACACTGATCGTCACAATCAACAACTACAAGAAGAACACTGATAGTCACGATCAATAAATTGTTAAGAAGAACAATAATTGATTGTCACGATCAACATCCATAAAAGAACACCGATCGTCACGATCAACAACTACAAGAAGAACACTGATCGATCGTCACGACTACAAGAAGAAACACTGGATCGCCAGACTGAACAAATAACCCTGATCGTCACGAAATCAAGAACACTGATGTCACGATCAAAGAAGAACACTGATCGTCATGACTCAAACAAATACGCGAAGAATAATCGATCGTCACGATCAACAACTACAAGAAGAACACTGATCGTCACGACCAACCACTGCAAGAAGAACACTGATCGTCACGATCAACAAATTCAAGAAGAAAGACTGATCGTCACGATCAACATCCATCGAAGAATCACGGATCGTCACGATCAACAACTAATGAAGAAATACTGATCGTCACGATCAACATCCACAAGAAGAATACTGATCGTCACGACCAACAACTACATGAAAGAACACTGATCGTCACGATCAACAAATATAAAGAACACTGATAGTTCAAAAACTGAAGAACACTCGTCACGATCAACAAACTACAAGAAGAACACTGATCGTCAGCGATCAACAACCGCAGAAGAACACTGGACGTCACGATCAACAACTGGATCGTCACGATCAACATCCACAAGAAGAACACTGACGTCACGATCAACAACT